TGTTCGTAAATTCTACGAACGAACGAACGAACAAACGAACATGTTCGCATACGAACGAACGAACGAGCGCTCGTTGACCGCTCTGGTTTGAATGTCAGAAGGCGAGGTTTTGCGCTCAAGAATAACCGAAAAAACAAAGTTCATAATGAGTTGTTGTGATACTATTATTGCAAGTCAAACAGAAAAAATTGACTGCAATATATATATATATATATCTTTAATTGCATTCTGAGTTGAAATTGAAGTTTTTTTTTTATTTCTTGTCCAAGTAGAGAAAGAATTGAATGTGAGAAAAAAAACAGGAAAATTAAAAACAGAATGCAAAGTTTAAAAATAGCCTACAATGCAACCGTATCGTAATATTGGGAATGCATCTGAAAAGAATGCAAAAGACAAGACAATGAAAACACCTCTCACTTGAAGACCTAATGACGTCACTCATATGAATAACGGACCAGAAAAAACATAAACAGTGAAAAAAGAATGACATGCGCGCGCTTGAACATTGAATAATTCGCGATTATTCCAAGAAGAAAAAAAAAAACAAAGAAAAAGGTAACAAGTTCAAAACAGAGAAAAAAAAATGTTGTGTTTATAAACCAAAAATTCAACAAAAAACAATTGATTAAAAGTAATTTGTTTGTTTGTTTTTTTTTTAGATTTAATTTGTGGCATTTAACCAGTACCCGTGGTTGTGTATCGAAGCCGATTGGAATGATATTGGATGGACACGTATATATCTGTGATTCGGAATAGATTGTTTGTTTTGTCGCGCGTTGTTGACACACATGATGAGAAGAGATCCGCACACGCACACACATTCACTGCATTTTTGGAAAGCGCGCATGATAGTGCATTTTTTTTTCAATATTCAGCTGCCAAATATTCTTAGGTCTTAAACTGTGTCTCCAGGCGAATGCATGTTGCTTTCATCGTGTGCATAATCCACGCTGAAGAAGTTTTTATTTCGGTTTTGATTTTAATTTTTTCGTATATTTACTTAGAATGTCAAATGATACAGCACTGGCCAACAGCATATTGAGTGTTTGACATTAAATTCAAAAATATGTCTCGTTGTTAAAACAAGAGCAATTTCCCAATGCCGGCCTCATTGCTTCAGTCATTTTTCATTGCTTTCTGATTAAAGTTCTATGTATTCAATCGCAAATTGATGAAAATTAATTGATTGCTAAATTGAGTGTGTGAATGGATTTCGGTAAAACAATCGAAAAACGAAGCAACAAAGACAACATTGAAGTCTTTGAACTTAGAGCTTACGTCCCCATAACTATCGATTTTGCCAGTGCTCATATATTTGAACATTTTTCATAAATTTTTGTTCTTGTTTTTTTTTTTCTAGAACAATAAAAATTTGTTTCACCTAAATAAGAATTTGAATTGGATAGAAAAAAATCTTATATGTTGGCAATATTTTGTGATTACATTGGCTATTCGATTCCATACTCTTTTTTTCTTTTCAAAAAAATGAACAAATTTTGAAAAAAAAAAAAAGTTGTATACGGTTCTTTGCATAATGAATTTTTTCAGCAATTTTTTTAACAGCATTTTTTTCTTGATTTAAATTAATTTTCAATAGAAGATTCTGAATTAGTTGAATGAAATAAAATAAATTAGCCCGAATTGCCGAATCGACAATATTTAATATGAAAATGGACAAAACAAATAATGACAAAAACAACAACAACAAAAAAGAACGAAACTTGCAAAGGAATATAAAATTCAATCAGGCAATTTGCGCATGAAACACAAAAATGACACGTTTGATGATATTGGATTTGAGTCGAAAGATAAACTAATGCATAACATTTGTAATCACAAAATATTTTCGGTTGGTTGGTTTGCATTTTTTTTTCGTATATATTTCATAAATATTAGTCATTGGTGGATGCCTCATCGCGTCACGCGTCAATTGAATTTTTGGATCAAACTATTTTTATCTCTTCAATTCGAAATATTCATATGGAACGGATTGAAAACAGCGGACTTCAAAGACTGAACTCGCAAATTGGAAAATATCATCCATTTTTTCTCATATTCTTTTCCACCATCCGCAATTCGAATCTATTTATTCGTTTTCTTGATCTTACACATCCAATCTGTCTGATCTCAAAAAGTGATACACTGCTGGCTACTGCTGCTGCGTGTTGTTTTTGCGGCAAAAATAAAAATCCATCAATCACACGCATTCGGTCGTCGCTCAATCAATCCCTTAAGATTGCTCCCTCGAGAAATTTTCCATTCAAAAAGAAAACATCTTCAAAGCGAAAATTATTCAATTTCCATACTGATATTTTGCTGTTCTCTCCTTATCTCCATGCACAAAACTCCCTCCATTGCCATTGCACAAACGTCATTTAAGCAATCTCTGAACATCATGTGTGAGTTCTAAGTTTCCTTGAACATTCCCTTCGAAGCAGGTCTTCAACGACAATGGAAACAAATATGCGAGAATCTAAGCCTAATTATAATTATAGCTTCTAAAATTCACAGCGTACACCATTCAACCATAGACAGAAAAAAAGAATTCAGTTTAGAATGAGGTCCCTTTCCACGCTCACATTACATTGAAATCAATTATTATGATTTATCGGCTCTTTACTACTTGTAGGAGGAAGGCGTAGAAGAAAAAAAGTAGAAAATAAACTTTGATACAAAAAAATTAAAGAGCGAGAGAGAAAATAAAGCAATCACTCCAAGTTAACCATGCGTTCTCTAGTAACGGACTCTGTTATTGGCAGTTGAAGTATTTCGTCTTTCTATTTGTGTTCCCATTCTGAAGGGGGATCGAAAGCGCGCGCGCGGGCGATATTCGTTTGAGGCATTTTCAATCACTGCAATTACTTAACAATTGAATGAATACGTTCAAGTGCATGCCATTTAGTTTTTGTCGAATTGAAAAAAGATATACTTGTTTACACCAATAACAAGAATAATGTATGAAGAATGAGAAGAAAAAAAAACAAATACCGAGCGTATTTTTCTGTTTCATCCATACATACAGCAGAAAAATAAAATAGCATTTGCATTTTCCATTTGAAAACGAATAAATAGTTGTTCGATTTGCGATGGTCTACGAACTACGGTTCTCTCTATTCTTAACATCAATTCATTTTTTATTTTTTTGTGTGTCTAAATTATAATTGAGTCGCTCGTAATTAATCGTTATCCATTTGTAAATATGCTTGTTTTTGCATTTATTGCTTTGGCGAGTTGCAGACACGCACATACACACTTCTCATATACACAGTTCAATGTTTAGGGATGCACGCAGACTGTGTGTATGTGTGATGTGTAAAGCAAACGCTCTTAATATCGACGTGTAACTATTGATTTCATTATATTATAAGCATAGCGAAATAATGTATTCGCGCGCTCCAATTTATATCGATGAATGTTAATTGTTTGGTAAACACAATGGCGACGCGCTGAATGAAAAATGAGACGCATAGCATAGCGAACGGCTAAAAACAGTAGCAACAACACTGAATATTGTGGCAAAAATAAGTGCGAGCGAGTGAGGCAACCAAGTAAGCGGTTAATGACGCGAAGGAATCGACAAGTGGTCGCTTGGATTGTTGCAAATCATTAAAGTTCTTTGAACTTCGGCGGCACAAAACTATTAAAACGCCATCACATCCAATAAATTCACTTGTTGCACACGCACAACTGCGAGCGAACACCGTCTTCGTCGTCATCGTTCCGTGGAGAGAAAGAGAGATATCGAGAGAAGGAAACACCGAAAATACCGACAAACACACACAGTCATTCCGAAGAAGCGACAGTGAAGCCATTTATAGTCAATTATTTTGCAACGAGTCGCATTCACCAAGTCAAATCAATCGGAAATGTTTCTACTGTAGAAAAGCCCGATTGGAACGATTGCATGAGTCCCGTTGTCTATATGCCACAAATTCCGTTATTCATACGAACGGAAAAGAAAAGAAAGACAGGCACAAGCCAACAATAAAATGAAAAATAAAACATATACGCATGAATAAAAGGAAAAGCACGACAATCAGCGCAGTCGATTGGATTGGAGTGTTTTGCGTGTGCCACCGAAAAGTAAATATGTGATATATCCGTGTGAGTTGAGTGTGACATTGCGTTTTAGTGTGTTGTTACATTTGTGCCTGTTGCATGGAAATCGCCAATACAATAAGCAAAGCGAAAAAGCACAAGTCAAACGCACACACAATAGCACGTTATGGGCGAGTGGGGTGAAGCGACATCGAATTGTCACTTCGTCGTCTCGTTTATATACTCAGCTAAAAAAAGGTCATTGGTCTGCCATCGTTTAAAGCTAAAAATAATAATAGGAACGCACGATGTGAAACAAACTACGAAAATTATCGTCAAATAACCCCGAAGTATATCAACACACGTACGTCAACTGATGCAATTATTTGTGCTGTAAACTCTTGATGACAACGAAAACGACGAAATAAAATTATTGTACGCGCCACTGCCCGAAAATCGACAAATGGAAGAAAGTGCTAAATTATGAAATTTATAACGAAAAAAAGCTAGAGTGTCGTGTGAGCCGATGGCATTGATATGAAAAAGAGCGCGATTGTTATTGTTTGCGATGATTTCGAACTGCATGTGGCGCTTTGATGAACGTAACGAACCTAACGAACGTTAGCTGCATTTTAATATATAGCCAAGAGTTTATCATTGGCAATACAAATATTTTGTGTCATATAAGCAAATTTCAAACATTTTCAATGTAAATGAAACTTTAGCACCAAAAAAAGATCCCTTCTTTGTAATCAAAACGTAAATAAACATAAGAAGATTACGTTGATGTGATTCACTTTAACGACACATTTGCAGGAACAATAGATTATTCAAATGATACACGTGTAAGCAATATTTTTTTTTTCCAAAAAAAAGTATATCTCGTCGTTGATTTTGATATTTTCCAATTATGAAAATGTTTGAATTGTTTTGGTATATCGAGCTCAGTCTTTTAGTTTCAGCTGTTTGATCGTTTCATTGCGATTCGGCATCATTCGGAGGTGTTTTTTAAGGATCTTTTTTTCGTTCTATTTCGAATTTTAACATAGATATATGAATACGGGTAAAATACCTTGGATGCTCTTCGAATGAGCATGCAGTGTGGCCAATGTAGATGCCATTGCCAATGCAGTGGGAGCTCCAAAAGCACTCTTTGGCGTGTACACAAAGTTGTGCGGTTCGCTATACTTGTTACTTGACGTAACAAGCATTTGAACCGTCACCGGTTCAACGATATCGGGATCGGCATACGGCGGCACCGTACAAATCAAATGAGTCTGCAAATATGAAATGTATTTTTATCAACGACAGCCGTAAGAAAAACCAACAATGAAATTATAAAATCAACGGTTGAATGAATGAATGAACGTTCGTAAATTGTTACCTGTTGCAAGAATTCCTTGTCAGGAAAGACAGACTCTTCCCAGATTGTGTCATAGGAGTCACTTGGCAGACAGTTCCTACGTGCTTGAAAAAGAATTCGGGTGTCTTTTAGGAAATTTTTACCTATGATGAATAATTCCAATCCCCCATTTGCAGGACATGAAACCAATGATTTTTTACAGATTTCCGGTACACCAGGCGGTTGAGCTGCAAATACAAAAGAAATGGTTTTTTTTGGAAGGTTCGAAATGGCGATGGAAAGTTTTTACACAACAATTGACTCGATAATATTTTATACAAATTGGCGATTCAATTTGTCTGGAATTTGTGAACAACAATGGGCAGAATTTATTTACAAGTTGATTCTTGACGTAAACGGTTTACTTACTGCAAATAATTTGTTGTGAACACACTTGTAGCGTTTCGATGGTACCGTCGTCATGAGTGACTTGAGTACGGAATACCATCCTACAACGGGTCGATTTTTTCTTACTTCGTGGTCCGGTGGTTTGATCCGGAAACCGATGCTCAACATCGACATTTCGTTCCTGTAACAACATGACAACGTTACGGTTAGTCTCGATTAAAATTCATTAAAACGATATTGTGCATGCAAATACCTTTAAAATTCCCACACAGTCGCATGTTGCGGTCATGTCAGTGTCTGGCTTTAAATCGATTTCAATCACGATGGTGCCTTCGACTTTCTTCTCGTTGCATGGTGTTGAATTTTTGCCCGATACTTTGCAGGCTTGATAGAACATGTGCGGTGCTACACGACCCACGTCTGTGCCAATGAAAATTTGTAACGTAGTCGGTTTATCGTATGCAATCAGTTTCACAATTGGAAATCCATTTCCACTCCTGTCTTTCACGGCTCCTCGGCTCCCTTCAGTTTGATATCTATCGATTGAAAACGAATAAAATCGCATTAGATATGCGATGATGGTTGCAATTCTCTCGTATAAATATTTGCAATGAGTTGCATTTTTATTTTACCTTGCTCTGTGCTGTTGTTCTGGTTGTGCTATGATTTGCAGTTGATACTTTCCATTCTGTGAGATAGCACCAATTTGTGTTTGTAGCGTAACCGCTCCACTGACTCCCATATTATTGTTTGGAGCATTGAGAATTTGTGATCCGATCGCGGTGCGACGAATGGCTGGCCGTGCCGGTCCACGCGATAGTTGTGTTATCCTTTAAATGAGACCATTAACGTTTTACAAGTTAAACAATGGCATTTCATCATAAAACATATTGGTTCGAAGAAACGATGTGGGGTAGAAAAAACTTAAGGACTTGGTCGATTAAAAATGATGGATAATGAATTGCGCCAGAGAAAGGAGCGAGAGATAGAGATCGAAATCATTTTGCTGTATGAATATGATCGGGCAATAAAGTTAGAAAAGCAATGTTGTTTATTATATTTATGTGTAATGCAGTCAATACTGGATCAAATCAGATGAGACCGAGGGACAACAGAAATGTGTTCTTCAATCATTGCAGCTATCTAGAGCGAGGGCATAGCAGATTCGGTTTTTCTTTTTCTTCATTTCAAAAATAGAAACAACAAATTGAACAGAGGAAAAAAAATGCAGCAACAGTGCATATTGCAATGGAGATTGTCGTCATGTGCAGTGCGTCATATTTGATGCGTTAAGTTATTGGCTAGATAATGGAACAAAAACATTTAATCGAAGGATAAAACTATATCTCAATCATTCCGATGACACAGTTTCAGTCTTGAATGTTGACTTAACGATGATTCCGCCGGCAGCGGTGGTGGTTGTTGTCGTCGTTGTTGTTGTTGTTGTTCTTGCTGCAACTTGCAAATGATTCTCGATTGTTCGACAAACACCTCTTTAAAAAGCGAAAACAAATGTTCAAAGGTCGAAAAACAAACGACTTGAATCGGTATGGTTTTGATGAATGAAATCATCCAGAATGAAGAAAAGTAAAAATTGATCTAAAAAAATCTATAGATTTTCAAGTGCTTTTAATTGTCGAATTGATGTTTTCAGACAGCGTATGCAATTCAAGGAAATCACACCATAATCGGATAAATTTCAGATTATACATCGATTGATACGTTTTTATTGGCGCCTATGAACATATTTGATGAAGATTAAAAAAATTTAAAATGAAATGCTCAATGAAATGAAACAATTTAACGATTGATGCTACTCTTTTTTTTTATCGTTTTGGCCCCAGCAATGCTAATCAATGAGCGAGCGCGTGCGCGATTGCTCTATGCACGCATCAAAATGTTGCAATTAAACAAATTAAATCAATGACACGACTATCTTTGTGTGTTGGATTTTATGGCTGTTTATTTGAATATGCGATAAAAATTTCTCGTAAATGGGTTGAATTGTCGTCGAGAGCCGAGTCAACGCTGATAATGCCGTATTAGGAGGTTAAGCGCTACAAGGCACAGACAAAAGTCTGGAACGATTTTCTGCTAGCATGTGCAGCAAAGAATATTTAAACTGATACAACCAAATTGTTTGCTGTCAAATCCTGTCTCGCTCACACCAACCGTCACACTGACTCGTTCGTGTACGAATTGCTGTTAGCGTAAAAGAGATGTTGTTCGGAGTAAACTCAGTTTAGATGTTCTTTCATTTTTCACGCAAAACAATTAAAATGCTGCAACACTGATCTGTTTTTGTTGAAGATCTCGCATGCGAAAACAAAACAGCAAACTGGAAATTCAAATAAAATGCTTGAATGCTTGATGACGATAACAAAAAATTAAGCCAAATAAAGGACAACAACAACAACGGCTCTTACGAAAGGTGCAGATGGTTTGCAAAAAAAAAAACATCAAGAAAGAAAAGAAAAAAAAAAACGCTGAAATGCGTCATAGCTCGATTTTATGTTTATGCAAATCATTGACATACAAATATGTATATGTGTGTGAATTAAGCGGTTAATTTTGGAATTGACTGATCTAAAAATACACACAGAGATTGTGTGCGTTGTTTTTTTCTTCGTGCATTCGCGAAATCCAGTTTTCAAGACCAACCAATGCTTTGGAGAGCGAGAGATAAACGAGACCAGCCTTTCTCATTTGTCTCGTTTTGCTTTGTATCAATTTGGTATTTGCTAAGCCACTCATACTCTCTGTATCGATGACGATATTGAGTGCTGTGTGTTTTTTTTTTTTACTGTTTAATGCCCAAAGAATACATGAAGAACGGAATTAAGTACACATTTTCCAATGAAATGCAAAAAAAATCCGCACGTATCTTGGTGATGAAAATCGATCGTTTTTTTTTCTGTCATAAAATCACATTGAAATCATATGTGATTGTTTTACGATTTATAACACGCATTTTATTGTTGAGGCGGTAACAAGTGTGTATCGCGTGTTGTGGTGCACGATTTTATCCAAATTTATCACGGGGATTCCCGTGATTTAATTAATCACAACGCAAAGGGGATGGCGTCAAGTACTTAATCTTTTTTGAAACTAGAAATAGATGGACACACACAATGTGTCTACAAGCTACCAGTATAGGTATATTTTGTTTTGTTGTAATTGAAACAAAAAAACCCAACTGTCTAATTGAAACTACGATTGAAAATAGTCCAAACGTTCGAAACCAGTTTTGTCGAATCGAAAAAGGCATTCACTTTGATGTTTGGCTTTTGATTTTAGTATCGTATTGGATTGTGGTCTGTGTTTTTGTAAAAAGGTGCTTACTTGGACGCATTGCAGGGAACGGTTGCGGTTTTTTGACTACTTTTCAGTGGCTTTCCCTTGAGGCTCGAATTAAAAACAAATGCGTCATTGCTACAAGTGTCATCAATATCAATTTTGTGATCGGTTTTTTGACGCTTCATTCCATCCAAAGCGCTCATTTCGTGACCAATCAGGTTGATTGAAGAAGAGGAACAAGAAGTTGTTGCTGATTGTTGTATTGAAGATGCAGGCATTAAGCTATTTGCATTGATCAGCATTGTATTCATGCCAATAGATGACGTTGTGGCCGCCATCGTCGCCGCCCTCGTTGCCATCACTGCAGACGATGTGGATGCCTCACCGTATGGATTTTGAATTTGAACGTTTCCATCAACCACTAATCGACTCGTGCACATCGTCGTTGTCGAATCGGTTGTATTACTTGTTGGTGGTAATCTACATTAAAGACGTGCAACGCGAACATAACGGTTAATTTATTATTTTTCATCATTTATTTAGCTATCAGTTCCAAGATGGATTTGGTTTTTTTTCTTTTTCTGAGAATGGAGTTTATTTCCGCAATTCCGGTAACGGTATGCAGATACATCGAAGTTATATATTCCAATTTGAAGTGGACAGCACATAATGAGGCGCACTCAAATAAATACATACTCCAGAAGTTACCCAAAAATCATTTTAGAAAATATATCATGCCCACACTTTTCTATTTCAAACACAAACAATTTTCAAACATGAGACTCAATTTGTTCTGGGGTAGCTTTTTTAAGCTGAAAATAATTCCAATTCATCATGCAAACTTTATCCTGCTCGCACTCGCTCAGATAATAATGAACACGCGTGAGAAATAATAAAACTGACGTGAGTTTATTCAAATTGTTATTTTATGCTAGCAATGAACTGGGGACCCACAATTGGTAAATAGTATTTACCTACAAATCTATAATAATAGTTTTATTCAAAAATTCATTGTTTTGAAAATTACCACACCAATTTGAAATGTGAAACCTAAAATGATTGTTTAGATTGTTTTCTATCGTTACTGATGATATTTTCATATGATAATGTCAATTTAGCATTCCTATTAATAATCAGATGATTTATTATTGTTATTGTCATATGTGTGTGGGAGAAAGAACATCAAAATAAAAAACGGGGGAAAATTGAAGAAAAAAGAAATGTGACGAATGCAAATGAGGAAAAAAAAACATTGTTCAGCGACAAAGCAAAATATAAATCAAGTGCAAGATCAGTAGCGGAATACATTAGAACTTATAATGATGATAACAAAAGTATACACCAAATACTTTGAGTCCGAAAAATGTCTCATGACCAAACAAAAGTTTGTCTGCCCGTTAGTTGGAATAATTGATGAATTGGTTCTGTGAGTGTTACTGTTGTTGTTGGGAGAACAAATGAGTATGAAAATACATTATTGATTTTCGTATGTATGTGTATGTATGTTTGAATGTGGTGGTGAAACGTGGTACCAATATGGAATAATAATAATAATAATAAACAAAAAGAGAAGAAAAAACTGAAGGTAATCGATTAAATAGAAAATTTGATTGATATTATGGATGTGTTGTGTGTGGTGTTGTTATGGGTGAACGATTCATTTATGATTCGGTGGACATGCAAATATCCACGGAGTATTCCAATAAATTACCTTGTTGACGGTAGTTGTTTGATGTTTGCATATGGTGTGTCGGCATACTGATCGTATCCGAGCCCACTGTCATTCGAGTTCGAGTTATCACAATGTGTACTTTGTTGTGGTCGCAATCGTTTGCCCGGCAGCACTTTGCCACCGATTCGTGCGGCCGAATGTAGTTTCCCTGGCAATGCTTTGCCTGGATGCCGTTTCGATGGTATCCGCAAAACTTTTCGATGAACACGTGACGTCATGGTTGATCCGGTCGACATGGTCATTCGCATCACTGCAACAAAGCAAAAGAAAAACCAAACCAAAACAAACACGAATTAAATGCGTGACAGAAATATTTGAGAATTGAAATTGTAAAATCCATTCAATACACATCATTAAGTGTTTCATTCTTATTAGGATATATAATTTCGATTGCATATTCCTCGTTCATTTGCTTATCAACACCTTTTCCTCTTTAGAAGAGAATCAAAGTCTGTGCGAGACGATTTTTGTGAACAAATTAGAAGAAACGCAAAAAAATTTCACATATTCTACACGTGTCCGCTTTTTATGACGTGCCACAGAAGTATCGGTCTATTTTTAAAAGCAATTAGAGCATACATGTTGAATGTGGCGTCTTTTTCATGTTCTTCCACTTTATTATTTTTTTTTTTTTTGTGTATTTGAATGAGCAACGATTGACTGGGATGAATAGAATTTGTGCGTACCAAAATAGGGCTCTACGTTGATTCAAAAAAAAAACTCGAGCATGCGACGCATGTTGTCCCTTTTCATTAGAGAACGGTGCTTATATGAGCAAAGTTGTATCTGGCGGCAAAAATTCGAAATGACCTGCCATGTCAATATGTGTATATTTACTAGACACTGTGTGGAGATATTTGCCGTTTGGAATGTCAAACGTAAATAAAAGAGATTTCAGAATGAAGCAAAACACCTGACACGTTCGAAGAAAATGGCAATAAAGTCACCCAATTCGGATCACTGCATTTCCTCGTACAAAAAAAAACTAGTAGTGAGTATAGACGTAATAACCTTTAATATAATAATAATAAGCACGAATTTTTTTGCATACAAGCACAATTGCGAAAAAAGAAAACAAAGAAAGAGAGAGAGAGAGAGACAGAGAGGACAGGCAGGAGATAACGAGCAAAAAATGTGTGCGAAATCGTTGTGCCTCTATTGCCTTCATCGTACTTCGCAATTTCTGATCATTATTATTGAATGACTAATCGCTAAACGACCGCCCGTCCAAATATTCGCATTCACATTTGCCCATTTTAATTTGTTTACACGCGCCGCAGATGATCTGTTTTCTAAGTATGCGCTCCGTTTTCTCTCTATCTCTCTATCATTCTGCTTCATGTTCCGTTTTGGTTCGCATTTTGGACTGTTTTATATATATTGAGCACATATTTATAGACTGTTTTTCATTTTCGTGTGCACACTTGGTTCCGCATAAAATCGGCTAAATGTTTGTTTCTGATAATAATTCGTTTTTTTTTTGTTTCTTTCTCTGTTCCGAATAGAATTCACTTGAATTCTAATTTGTTGTTGTACGTTACGCATGCGATTTTTTCATCTTCAAACCTCAGTTTATTTTACTTTAGCTTGTTCGCCGTTATGGTATATTTCAAGCAGACAGTATGTGTGCTTGTCGTTCAATGTTCAGAGGCTGGTAATTGTGCGTGTGTAATACGGTTGGAAACAAAAATGCCAATAATAAGAATCTTTATTAGAAATTACTCGGCTGCTTTTGAAACCGAACAACCAACATACACATAGAAAGCAAAACAGTCAATTGAATGAAATGAGCCCAAAGAGCGCCAACCATGGCAGAATTGCAGCACATCGACAACGGAAGCGGGTGACACACAAAAAAGGAGAAACGGGACAAAAAAAAATTATTGGGTTTTAGCTTGATCGTTCAGCCCATGAAATATTGTCTATTTCCTTTAGATTGATATAATTTTCGAAGGGCCTTTTATTCACCATACACATCATGTACATATATGTTCTATCTATTCCACAGTTGGACGCTCTCAACAGAATGAATACGCATTTAAATGACAATAATTCATGCTCACTGATACATCTAATGAAAAAAAAAAAAAACTAAATTGAAGTTCTACACAGCATTTACGTCTTATTAATTGAATGGATTGATTGAAATCGATGCCGTTATTTCGTTTTGATTTCATCAAGTACTTAGCTATTGCCGCTTACTGACATTGCTACTGCTTCGTTAGAATACCGAATAATGAATATTCCATCGTCATATTTTATCGGTTGCTTCAGTAAATTGATGCTTTTTATTTATGGTAGAGTGTACTTAACATGGCCTTTCAAGTAAATTGGCCCTTTTCCCATATAAATAGCCATTTTTCGTTGCAAAAGACAGGTGAAAACAATGCCATTCGCACAAAACGTTCTCTTTCTCCATTCAATTGCATTTACGCATAACAACAACAATGACGATTCTCCCACTCTTTTCTATCTAAATATGCCATTTATGTTATTCATCTCTTTTGTTCAATTCGATAGAGACCCAGCGTTACTTAGCGAAGCATTTCCATAGCGATAACTTTTGTTTACACCAAATTACTTGGATTAATCTGCCCGTCTAAATTGGTTTTCGACGGAAATTCGTGCAGTCGTAAAAAAGAGCATAATTTCTTGCCATATTATTACGATATGTTACTGACAAATATTGCGTCCAAATATCAACTGCTAGGTAGTTGAGAATAGCGCCTACACAGACACAGTCGAAGCGCCGTTCGCGGTTCATTATATATAACAGCGCGATATGATTAAGTGCTTGAACCGATTTAAGGTGGTTCAGTATCGTGCGAAAATATGTATTGAACTCACAACTTATTCAAACAGATGCGAAACGCGAATACTTCGGACGAGTTTCTGTTTTTGCTGCTTTGCTTCGTCTGTTTCGCTCATTTTTTGCGGCTTTGGTAACAAAGGATATGAAAAAAAAACACACAGAGAGAGAGAGAGAGACCTATTTGCACAATCGTCGTCAACAATAAACAAAAATAAAATCCATACGCAATGAACACAAACAACACAGTCAGTCGAAGAGCCATAGATATCAGAGCGGCGAAAAGCAAACAGAGATCAAGAAAAAAAAAATTATTGTATTTTGTAAAGCTCTAAGAATTTCAATTTACACCCTGATAATTTCTTTATCACGTTTCTTTCTGTGTCTCTCGCGTCTCGCACTCGGTACCGATTTTTGTCACCTTATTTGACGTCCTCGAAACATCGAGCTGCACAAAATGTACAAACACATACGCTGTGGCCGCGCAAGTACTGTGATTTTTGCTCTGATTTTAAATGTAAATGTATTTCAAACCGAGTGTGTGTCGCTTTGGTTACATTCATTTTGGCTGCCAAATTAAAATCAATTTAAATATGTAGTCAAGTCATTGTGCCAACGCCGTCGATTCGTTGAAAATGTTGGATGTTTTTCTTTATTTTTTGCATCGCAAAAGAGATGTATCGTCCGTCGAGTTGAATCGATTCAAATGAAATTCAAGCGAAATTGCTCGACTTCTCGAAACTGTATTCATCGTGTATGCAGTTTGAATGTAACGCAATGTTCCATCAACATTTCAATTACAGTTCTTTTGTGTGTGATTCGTAAGTACCACCACAATGAAAACACATAAACGTCTTATCGTGGATTTTTTTTGTCAAACGGTTATTCACCTCTGTTAGTTAGACTGTTTGCGTTCATTTTCAATGTGAAGTTTTTGAGGCGAAAGAAATGTTGTGGCTCATAAATACAATGGCACATTCAATTTGATCGCTGCGACTCTTTGATCGATTGTTCTGTCGAAGAAATTGAAAGTTAACAGTTTTCATTTAAGGACGAAAACAATTCGATCCAATGATAATAATTTTTTTTTTTTTTTCAAATTTAAATCGACAACATGATTTTCATTCATCATCAAGTCGGACAATCATAAACCAGTGGAAAAATGACAGTATCAGTCGACATCTATTACCTACTCTTCAATCATCATTCGAAACGATTGAACGCAAAAAAAAACTTAGGCAAGAATGTTGAGATTTAATTGGATGTGTGAAATATGGAAGTTCTTATCTAAAACAATTAATTTGTTAGCACCCCGAAAAAAGTGGCATCTCGAAAGTGTTCAAGCGACTATATTGTCGGTGTAGTTGTTCAAGATTCGTCGTGTTAATTTTCATTACGAAGAGTGAAGTTATTGTCACACGGTATATAAAAGTGACTTAAAGCGAGTCGACAACGACAAAGATGATATTTTTATGTCGCCTATCAAATTGAGAGCTATTTACTTTGATTATGGTTGTGATACGACGGATATCCATTGTTATAGTTGTAATGTTGATGTGAATGCTGATAATGATGATTCCAGTTGCCTTTTCCCTTGCCTTTGCCCTGGCGTACGCCACCATTTGTAACGCCGCCGCTACCTGCACGACTGCCATCGAAATTCATCCACTGTGGATAAGTGACCCGCATTTTTGCGTCTTCTGATTTTTTTTCTTCTTTGACTCGTTAACACTTCACTAATTGAAAAATTTCTGGATTCGTCGCCGGTCCTTAAACCGAATGATTAACGCTCAAAGATCACAATAATTTATTAAACTGCCGGAATTTTGGTCAACGTGTTGTCTCAATCCATCTAAATGGCACGACACAAAAGAATTTTGTTTATTTTCCAAAAATATATTTTAAGACTTATTGTTTTCGGGCACTTTCTTCCTTTATCACTCGCTCACTTTTATAACGCGAATACGTTGCGCTGTATCAATCACTACTACGTACTAAACTTTGGTGGAAGTATTGTCATATTTTTATGTTTTTCTTTTCTGAATTTTGAGATTCACGTTATTCTGAAAATGGCTGAATTCCGTTGGTTTTTTTTTTATCTTCCTCTATCAAATTGTTGTGTTTTCTTTCTATTAATATTTGACGAGAAGACAAACGTATTTGCTGAATGAACCAATAGTGTCAAATCAAGCGAAAGCTTAGCACCGTAATCATTTCGACGAAATAATCGCTTGAAACTGTTTATATTTTCGAAATTTTGTATGCATTCGTTCAGTGTTGTGTTCGGTGTGATTTGAAAAGAAAATCTCACATTCGTTCCACATAATTTCTGGCCCTTCGACTTAGTTTCTGAGCAACGACATCGAATACACCAGATCGAATTTGGAACTTCCAATCAATAGATAAAAATCCGGTTTTTTTCTTGTTTTTTTTTTTTCTGTCACTGTTTGCCAGTTTAATTTACAACTTGTTCACATGTGCCGTTTAATACGGGACCAGGCCCAAAAATTATTGTTATGTATAATGCGACGATCGACGATCGTTTTTTTTTCACTTTATTCAATTGATTTACATACTTTTTCAATGTAGAACGTTTTCAATTGTAGAAAACAAAAAATCACGTAAAAACTGGCCGATTTGTGCTGATTTGGTTCCGAGTCAGTGTCAGTGAAGAAACATTTTCATTTCTCATACGTGTTGTTTATTTGAAAATGACTAGCGAAATTTTGTGTTTTTTTCGGTTGTTGTATACAACATACATTATCTCGCAATATTATCATCTCATCATCAATGAGGCGCTCGTAAAAACTGTGTGCCCATCAAAAAATATCTACATAGATACGCGGTTCGTTTTACTGGGCGACGACAGCGTGAATCTTATGAGAGATTGAAGTAGAAATAAAAAAAAAATACACTGTGTATATATGGACTGTTCTTTCGTTTTTAATACATTCAATTTATATGGATATTTGGTTTGAGGCCTCATAACACGCGCGCGATATGCCACACCGAACATATATTCATTTTTTTTTTTTATTCATTCACATTACACAACTGAAAGACAACAGCAGCAGCAACAACAACAACAACACATCTCCTCTTCTATATTCGTCGTTACTCGGCGGCGATAACGATGAGAGCGCGTATACGATGTTTATGAAGAAGCGCACATATCAACGACACAAATAATTGCTGTACATTAAATTGTTAGATTCAATCAACGAATCATGGGTTTGAATCAAAATACGAATCGGTTTCACACTCGCGACAGCTTTCAATTTAAATGTCCTCACAAAACGGTTATAACAGCGCGAACGGGGATACACTCTGCTACTTCAATCTGTGTGCCGTATCACTTGGACGAAACGTAAAATAACAACTATTCGACCGAGAGAAAAAATAAACTGCAATGTCACTTGAAACTAAAAACGTTGACAAGAAAATAAAACAATGTTTTTCATTTCACACCACGTAATCACGAATTGAATTTTGAGTTGAATACGTTTTTTTTCTCGAGTTGTGAGCAATGTTGGGCCGTCGGCATAAAATTGTTACTACGGTCTGATCAATGAGAACAAAAATTTATAACTAAATTGTGTGCTGTCAATTTAGTGATATTAAACCCATTAAAACACTTAAGTTTTTCATTTCGGTAGTGGCAGTTCGACTGTCTATCGTTTTTTGTGCGATATTTCTCCGTTTCTTTTTCTCGTTTCTCGCTCTCTCTTCGACCCTCCTACAACGCCGTAGTATTTCCATCCATGTGTGTATACGCGATGGTTTTGCTTGTACAGCGGAATAACGTGTTAATGCCAAGAGCTCCGTATCAATACTGAGAAGACAAAGCTTTATCGTCTTCTATCGCCCGGGTTTGCTCTTTCTCGATCGGAGGCGATGTGCGTTCGCTGCTGTCGCTGTCGCTGTAGTCGTCGTCTCTGTGTGACCATGTGAAGAAACTACAACTACATTGATATTTTTACTTGAATCGCAGTGCATGCAGTTTCAAGTACACGCATTTCCCTCTCTGACTCATTTTCTGTTGCTGTTGCTGTTGTCCGTCAATCCATTGTCGCCAATCGATGCGGACATTATAGACTCCTGATGTGCGCTTTACAATATGTTGTATTTTATCAGCTTCGAGTTTCTTTCTATTGTTTTCCGTATGCTATGACTCTCTCCGTTTGTCTCTGTCACTGTCCCACTCTATCACTCACTCTCTTTCTCATGTGTGTGCGGTTGTGATTTTCGAACTCCAATTGTCGCACTGAATTTGCTCTCTGTCTTTGTTGTGATTCGACAGTATTTAGACCCGTTTCGTCGAACATTAGCATGTAAACGGCACGATTTCATACATCGACTTTTATGCGTTAGCTGTGACGGAGCAGTAATGATGATTTTATAATTTTGTTTGCATTGTATTTTGTTGCTTTTTATATCATCAAAACTTTTCGAGAAAAAAATTCACAATTTGTTGCCAGAAATACTTTTTTTCCTTCTTCTAAAAGAATCGATTAATTTTTCGGTTCTCTCCGCTTCGATTCTTTGTGTATATATTTGGAATTTTGTTGTGACGTTCGCGAAAAGCTGTGGAACCAACAGAAATATTTGCATTGGCAAAGTTTTGTTTATTTTGTGCACGAAACAAAAATTCGAACGAATGAAACACTCGACTAATTGAAGTATCCATAGCATAGCTTCGCAACAGCTTGTAAAATATCTAAATTTATACGCTCCAGAAAACAAACCAAAGCCACTGGGCTCAATCCAACATAATTCTTAAAATGATCTGAAGCATAATTGAATTTATACCATTTGCGTAAGGAATTTGGAAAATGAATTTCATTTCGGATTGAAAGAGAGAGAATATTGAAAAATACGCATGACAATAATACCATTGCCATGCAGTGGTATTTGTTGGAGGAAAGGGTAGACGACGTCAAAGCGTGTTTATACGTAAAAGAAACATACAGCGAGCAACAAGTTGGTACAACCAGAGGAAATCATTTCTTCTTGAGTAACCTTGAGACTCGCACCGCAACGGTACCGTGTACAAAAGGAACGAAACAAAACGGAAAATCAAAACAAAAACACAGCGAGAAACAAAATTGGGTTTCATTTTTCGGAAATTATCATCAGTTCACATTACATTGCCCTATGACATTAAACGGTCAAAGTTGACGAAAACAAATACAATAATCTAAATGTTTATTTCTCGGGCTGTCTATTTGAATGGTTTGTTTGTGTTTCCTTTAAGAACAGAGCGAGAGAAAGAAACTTTGATTTTTGTACATGATTTATTCAACAAAAGAGAAATTAGATTGAAAATGATGATTGGCCGAAACGAACAGTGGCTCCGATTGACATGAATTATTGCTTGTCACGCCTAAACCAGATTACATGTCATTAATTTTGTGTGCGTGGTTTGTTTTTGGTATCCATGCAACACACCGAATGATAAGAGACTCTTATTAAGAGATAGGATTTTACGATAGCTTTAACGATAGTATTTATTCTTCAAGAAGCCAAACTCCGTTTAAATGCCATTCGATAAATATCTGTGAGCTAGTAAAACCGGCGAAATATATTCAAACAATTAAAATAAACACACAGATGCTGAAGAATCGAAGTCGGCATTTAAATCATGCTAATAGTTGTGTATAAATAATAATCTATTCCGAAATTTTTAAAACATCTGATCTCGTTGTCGGTTGCGTAGACAAAACTATGATTTATTCTCGTTCTCTGTGTGACACTTTAATCCATTTCACGTGTAGACGCCACATGCGGTGTTAGAGGATTGATTAATTTAGAATATTGCAAGAATTTTCGAATTATTATCCGATACTCCGATGTCTCTCTCTCTCTCTCATGTGTATCAAAAGCCCTTTTTTATGACCGAATCAATAATGAATTTTCACAGAGATTGGAATCGCAGGGGACATAGTTAAAAGATTGGTCGTTTTCATAACATCGTGTGCGATATTTGAATTTAATTTATCCATAGATGAATTGATTTGAATTTCAAAAGTATCCATGTAAATTTTCTCTCTTTCGTTCGGTTCTTGGGATCAAACTTCAACTCATATCATCTAGGAAAAAGAAAATAGTGTCGATTGCGACATGAAGTCACAAAACGATAAATATTACATAACTGAATTGACGTTTCGATGTGTGCGATTCGTGTTCATGGCAACGATAACGCACTGATTTCTTGTGTTTACTCATTGTCATTTTGAAGCCAGGAGATTCAACGAACCAATATTTTTGTTCAGATTTTATTTATTCATTTGATTCACTAGAGAAGTTATGATTGAAAAATTTACGCGCGTCTTTTCTAAGAAATATCAAATTTTCGTTCATTTTTAACCAAAAAGGATAATTACTTACAATTGATTGATTTTTTTTCTATTTTGAAGGATGTATGCATAAAGTGGAGTATCATCGATGAATATTTCAATATATAAAGAGACGGACAAGCTTTGGTTGGTTGGTCACATCCCTGTGAATTATAATACCCGATTGTAAAATTGAAGTCGTAATACGGTTGATTTGTTCATGTTTACACATTTTCATTAGCAAACGCTGGAATGGATGATAGAAATAGAGAGTTCTTTTTTGTTGTTGCTGTTGAAATGATGTCGCTTTTGTGAAATCTAAAATAGTCAAACTGATAAGACACAGGAGGAGAGACAGAGAGTGGGAGAATGAGCTGCAATGTGAAATCCTTGATTCACTTCATTACATCGTCATACTATGTTTAGGCAAATAATTGTCTGGCAAACAAACATGTCGAAATGAATGTCATTTCACTATAATATATTACAGAGAGCGAGAGACAGAAGCGCATTTCAAACAAAAAAAAAGCAAATATCGTTTATTTTTCTAATTGAAGACGCATAATGGCATGTTGTTTGCGGGTGAAACACTGTGCTCAAAGTCATATTGATGTATATGTATTGCCGTCTTATTAATCAGTTCATTCTAGTAATTTATTGATTCATACGCTTGATTTCGAGCCGTTGAAATCCTTACACATTTCTTTGCACGTATCGCAGACAAGAAAAACATTGTCTAGATTCCAACGGTATATTTAGTCTAACTTCATAACAAAGTATAAAAATAAAGTGTCTCAACGGAATGATGATTTTTTTTAATATCAAATCATATTGTAAATGTCGCTTAATGCATTTCATTTTTTCTTTTCTTCGTCAACTCAACTTGTTAATCGTTTCGACTTAAAAATACGTTACAGATTATGTACAGTACACGGCACCATACTCATTTACAGTCCTCTTAGATAAGATACGAAAAACAATAAACGGTTTTGAGCAACGAATCAAATAATTGTGATTACATTGAAACTTCCTCCTTGATATGGATGAAAAAGGCGAGAAAAAATCTTAGAAAATGAAGAGAATTAATTTAAAATAATTAATTCCATTTTGATTTGGTGCATTCGACTCATAATGAGCTTGCAAATATAAAAGGGTCAGACTTGCATTTTATCAACTAGCTCGTGTCAGCTATAATCAAAGACCGAACAAAGAAAAACTTCAATTAATGCCCGTTTTCTTTTGCCTCTCTTGTTCTTTTCTTATTCACAGCGACGACTGTTCACCCCAAGATTTATAGTCGGTCCGAATATTGTGATGTGTTCATTGGACTGTAAATAGAACACAATTTGTGCTCAGTTGTGCTACAAACATGAACTTTGGGGTCAACGAAATGCTTCGCACTGCAGTATCAACGCACAGTTCAAATGGCAAATGGATCTGTTGCTCTTTGTATGTGCGCTCTTTTATTCTGCTTCTTGTCTTCCGTCTAATTGAATCATAATACACTTGAAAATCATAAACAAATGCTCGAGAAGGAACATTAAAGCTCGTGGAAAGATCAGCAAACATAACAAAAAAGGAAATATGGTAAGAATCACAGCAATCAGACATCACGCATTGTTCTAGTGAATCGATACGCACAATGACCGATTTGAAAACAGACATGTATACAGAGCATCAGTGACAACGACGGCGGCAGTGTTCGTGATAAGGCGTTGTGTATTCAATGTGCTGGATTTAAGTCGATTCATTTTCTGTGTTGCGACATTAAAATTTTATTTAAATTGTTTTGGTACAGTGAGAAGATTAACAGCATCAGCATAGAGAGAGAAAAAGAAGTTCACCATCGGCCGAGAAAGCACTTGATGATAACCAGCGCGCTACGGGTGACAAAATGCTTGATCTGAAAACTCAAACTCGCACATGCTAATTATTTTCGAATAAAAATAAACAAAAACACCGAGAGATCTCTCTCGAGAGCACATGCAATTGAACGTTCGACCCGTTGAATCTATTTTCTGCATGTCTTTTTTATTTTTGTGAGCGCGCACTTATTTTACCGACGACTATATTCTCGCCTTGTGGATGGCTCGACGCATAAATAACAAAACGTTGATAAATCTATTTGAATAATCATAAAAACGGTCGAACTATCGAGATAGTGAATGAAAACAAACAGGGTGAATCAGCGTCAATCGGAGGCAACTAGAGACAGAGAACAAGAAAGTCATTTAAAAAAGTTTGGTATGATGCGCAAACATTTTGCGACAAAACAAAAATATTTTGTTACAGCTACAGTAACCATTTACATGTGCTATTAATAAATGCGCACACACTTGTTTCAATATACAAAATAGTACGGGTGAATTACGCCATTTTAAGGTAAGCATCGGAAATACATTTTCGGCTTCTAATAGTTGCGCATATCAAATTGCCAATTTCATTGATCGTTTGTACGCAAAATACATTCAATGATTCTACCGTATCGTAGATGAATTGATACGCACCGGTTGTTCACAACCATATCATAGCAACTCATCACACTTGACAGCCCATCATCATCATCATCGCTATCATCTCGCGTGCCGTGTGTTTTTCACAAATTTCGTTTGAATTTAAATTTCTTCAAATCAAACGGTTTCATTTCCATACAATTATCACGTCGTTATCGGACTTCACCCAGCTAAAATGTTTGACTTTCAATCGAAATGTAATGGGAATGCAACGACCTACAAAAGGAAACGGGGTTCAACAACATTTTCGTGTCGACAATTCGAATTCGTTTCGGAGAGAGTGACCATTTTATCAAATGTTCGAAAAACGATGGGGAAATTCGAATGGAATTCAAAGAAATGCCCTCATTTTTTGTGTTTGATGCAAATTCCCGAGCTGAAATGAATCTTTTGTGTGGATGCTTAGCATTTTCAATTTCAACCCGTTGCCGAAAATTGGTCGCACAACAGGAGTATGAATGGTTATGACTTTAGTATGGAGTTTCTAAACGTCTAATCAACGGACAGCACAATGAAGATTATATATGGTGCTTGCACTTCAGACGAAGTCTTGGTTTGGTCGCCGTTTGCATACAGTCAATATTTTTGTATGATTTCGCGTGTACTCGGCTGATTCGCCTAATTTTTGTTGTTGTGTTCTGTTGAGCAATTCTAATAGTTTTATGTGACAGAGAATTTCAATTGGTTCAATCAAGTGACACAGCCGAAGTTTGAATGCACATGTTGCACACAGCCTGTACGTATACACAACCAACCTCACCTTTACACTTTCATATGGGTTGTGAAAGTCCTAAGGGCAAACTGATAATTGTTTGACAGTGTAAAAGATAATCCGTTTATTTACTATGAACACATCCAACTAAACATCGATTATTATGAACACACAATATCAACGAAACACACCGGAATGGGGTAAAACGCAACAGCAGCAACGATACACATACACATGCTCATTGACTATGACCTATGATAAAGACAAATATGAATATTTCAGACAATGTCCACAACTCAACGCAAGGCGTTAACCATCCAATGTCGAATGGTATTTTTTTTGTCTTCATTTCAATCCATTTGGGCCTCGTGGTTTCAATCGATCGTCTGATTTTCTTTTTTTCAAAAGACAGTAAGAAACGGACACACATCGAAGAGTGAGACACGTGTACCAATGTTATATTTTTTCTGAGTCGTCACAACAAAAACTGGTCGAAAATTGATAAAGTCAACATGTTCAACCGAAACTATAGTATAGACATTTGAAAATAAAATGTAATGTTCTAGACGATTCAAAATGAATGACATATCGTAAACAATCCTAATTGTAACATAGTCCAAATTGTAAACTATTTGGAAAAAAACACGATTTGAACTTGGATACGAATTTTAAATGTGGCACATTATACATATTCGGAAAGAGCACGAAAAAATCAGCCTATGCAGAATAATCAAACACAGAAAATATTTTTGTCGAAATTCATTTATCCATTTTGAAAACAGCATCTAAATTTTCACCGTTTTTGATAGGAAAAGTTGAACTATGTTATAGTATTATGCTTCCGAAATCATCGTTGTTTTCAGCAAATACTGTACAAAGTATTCAATGTTTTCATGCATTTTTACTGTGAAATGTTTCTAAAATTTAATGCATTACTCTTTTTTTGCAATATATTTCGACAAAATATTTTTTTTAGATGAATTTCATGATGTATCAATTGTAACTTATTCTTTCCGAATGATAACATACAAAGCTGCTGTCAAACCGAACTTTGATTGAAAGTTCTATGGTTATGTTAGTGTTGACCGATGTGACAGTTCGCAATGTGTTTATTTTTGTTCGCAAAAATAATTTAAAATAATAAATATTTTTAAAAAATATCTAAAAGCAATCCAAAATTGAAATTAAATCAAATTTGGAAACAATAACGTGAAAGGCTAAGGATTTGCGCGTGTTCAAATTTTGACGTTTCACAAAGTTTCGTCATAAGTTTTTGAGTTCTATGTTACAATTTGGTGTTTACAATTTGGATAGTTCAATTTCCCAATTGGGGATTTAGTGTATTTTTTTCGATTGGAGTAAAAACTAAACTATTAAATGATTTTTTTTATTAATCAAGCGATACATCAAATAAAAGTCAAATAAATTCTCTTTTGAATATATATAAACATGTTGAGAATTTATGAAGTAATTTTGTGAAAATCGACGTGCAAAGTGGATGATCAATAGTTTACGTTACAATTTGGAGTGTTTACGATAGGACAGTTTCTGAGAATAATAGGCGAGTGGGAATCTGTAGCATTTTCTAAATGAAAGGATAAATTGCGAATGCAAACATGATGACAGACAAGATAATGATCGACTTGTTGTGTGTGTGTGTGTGTGTGAGTGTTCACGACAATCTAAGTTGATGTGATTGCTTTTGTCAACGATCGATCAAAATGCAAAGCAGAAAAGGCAGCCTTGTGCCGTTTTGCTCTATCTCTCTTTATTGTGCGGTTCTCAAGTGACTGACTACCCATGAGTCTGACGATTTGATCGATTTTAGTTTGAATGTTTTCTGGTTATCGCTTTTATTTTGTCACATTTTCAATCGGCGATAAGCCATTTGAATGGAGGAGCTGCTTACTGCTTTTCATGAATTGATAGCGCAATCGACCCGAATACAATGCGTGATGTTGACGTGTTGATTTTTTAGGTAAACAGAAGAATTTTATCGAAATGATAAAAAAAAATTATTCTACTACACAAGATTATGTTACCTGACTCAAATGAAATGAACGAAAAAAAGACGAAACACACACATCAACCATAAAAAAATGTTATCAATCATTTTAAGTTTTCATTTTTTCTTTTTTCTTTTTTCGTCTTCGTTTGGTTTATTTAGTTCTATGAACTTTTATCGGCCTGTGTGCATTTGTTGTTGGTCGGCATTGCCTAATAGAAAAGACATTTTCTACCATTACCAATCTCAGTTCGTAGTATTATCTACTCCTGGATATGATATACGTATTATTATTGGAACCAAATTGAAAACGTGTTGCCGAACATGTTGTGTTCATATCACGTTTTATGCACGATATCAACCGTTGCCGCCCGTCGTCGTCGTCGTCGTCCGATTTCATCTATTCATGTTTATTGTGGTGTTCGGGATTCTACGTCTGCACGACGAATAGATAATAGTTAAACTTTCTGGAATGTTCTTCTTATCGCATTACCGAACTAAAATTGTCAAAGATTTTGGAAACAATTTCAAAAAACCTATTTAAAATTCGGTGTACCTGAACAATGGCAAATATTATTTTGATTTAAAATAAAGATTTCGACGGTGACATACAACTCGCACTAATGACTGCCAGCACGTCAACGAGGTATAAAATCAGCTATATCACTGTAGTACATGAGGAGCATCGTCAAAATTTTGAAAAAATCTCAGTCGTTCCTTTTACAAAAAAAAAAAAGTCGTAAATAAAAACATATCAGTCAACACGAGGAGTCATAAAAGAATATCGCATTTTTTGTTTTTCCCAAAATTGATAAATAAACCTGATTTCGATTTGGCAGAGTGTTTTTGGAACAGGAGAGTTGTTATCAAACCAAAAAAAAAAGTATAAACCATACATAAAATATAGGACACAAAATCCGGATTAAATCTTTTTATGACCCGTAGCCGTTTCATCGTCGTGTTAAATAAGGTGATAGGTGTGAAGAGGACAACGAAAAAATAAATAAACGGGTTTGTTTAGCCATTCCAGATTTCTGCTTCGCTAATCTAATTCCGATTTTTGCATGTGTAGATTTTGCTGTTGAAGTAGCGATAATAGACCTAAACAATAATAGAAAAAGTGTATTTGATTCCATTTTTATCAGAGCTAATTTAAAGGAAATCGCATTGTATGGGCGGTAATTCATGTTTGATAATAATCATGCGATTTGCTCGTGCATGAGCCACCTTTTAATCGATAAATTCTAGCTTACATAACTAACAAATTTTACTCGCTTCACTTACTAGACACAACGATGGTAATATTTTGCAAGTGTAGCACGAAGCAACAGTTGTTATTTGACTGTTGTATGTGCAAAAAAAAACGTACGTTGCGAATTGTGTGACTTGATTGGCTAGACTTGAAGTGAACGCGCCGATGAGCGAACGAGTGAACGAGTAAGCAATAGGCTAGATGAAGAGAAGAGAATGATTTTGATCAAAACACGTATGACCATTTGATCGAAATGCGTGACGCAAATGCCCATACTAGCTCAAAATCCATCCAAGTGTGTCCATGTGAAGCGCATACGCATGCCCGAAAACGAAACAGCCGACACGAATCTATTCGTGAGCCATATCCACGAACGAAAGAACGAACGAACGAACCGACTCACTCTCTGACTACTTCTTCTGCTACTCTTTCTATACATAGAAAATAGCGACGACGCAATAAAATATCTCTGCTGATGAACCGATTATTCTAATTTTTGCCTTTACAATGAATCGTTTCGTTCTCTCGCCATCTCGCTCTCTGTGTGTGCAGTCGATCTCATCGAGCGAACATTCGTTTTGTTTCGTTCGGCAGCCTCTTTATTTCGTCCATTCCACACGAATTTACATTGCACGCGCATTTATTTTCGCTTCTTCTCTGATTCACTTTGTCAGATCACTGTATGATTTGTTTCAAACGAATAGCGATAATAACAAAACTGAAGAGAGCAAAAGAGAGAGCAACGAACAAAATAAAAAGAAAAACAACACGCAAACAAGGTGAATGGATGGTAGCGCTGCTGTTTCCTCTAAGTTTGTACACAATTGCAAAGCCGACGCAACTGACAATGCCATGTGGCTGCTTGAGCGATAGTTCTTCTTTATTGAATACGGCGTGTGTGCGTTATGACTTACTTACTTTACTCGGCTACTAGCCGCCCGTGTATATATATATATGCTCGATGCCTTTTCACTTAAATCGCATATTTATTTTTAGCCGTAACGTTTCATTCCGTTCCGTTCCGACTCTCTCTCTCTCTCTCTCTCTCTCTCTCTCTTCCGACTTATGATGAATAATAAAATCCAATTTTAATCGAGCATATCGAAACAAGTTGAAACAAGAAATGATGTTGGGGAGGAAAAACAGTGTTGAAAAGAAAAAAAACGAGATTTTCCTTACCTGTTGAAGCTCTGGTCAATTTTCCTTTGCCTTTGCCGGGCTCTAAATTGGAACACTTCAATAACATTTTATTGTCGATTGTAGTGTGTGTTGCGTTGTTCTGTGTTCGACCGTCGCCAGATGATAATCGCTCCGACCGCATCGATGCAGTTTGTTTTGCGAGAGAGTGACAAGCTGTTGGTTATATTTTGAATGGTGTGTGTTTGTGTCACTCTGGCTCACTTGTATACCGATTAATTACTTAATTGAAAATTTAATCGGAACCGTTTAAATATGTTCAAATTGAGCGAGTGTAAAGACACCGATAACACCATAAATTCCAATATCATTACACATCGACTCACACTCAATTCTGTTCCCAGTCTATATATGTTTACCACTTTAATTACGCGTGTCCAGTTAAATTGTTGTTATTTTTTACTCTGTTCGTCTTGTTGTTTCGTTGATTTTATTATTGTTGGCGGAAAATGGCGTGTTGTTGTTCCGATCAATTCAATTGATTTGTCATATCGGGCTTGAGTTTTGTTGATGATGAGAAAAACCCCACATTCAAATAGAACATTCCGCTAGAATGATGTCTAGCTTCGTGGCAGCGATGTGCGTTTAAAGTTCACTTTTGGGTCCGTTTACAAATAGCGAAACGACAGAAAATGTATAGCAATAAGAACAACAACGACAGCAGCAACAGCGAACTACAAAATTACACATTAATAAATAAATAAACACAGGCGGCGACGACGTCAGCGCCGAAGCGCACACAATTCATCAACAACGATGACTGGCCTATAGGCAACGATATATAATGCCGATCGTTCTACGATTTCGGCCAAACATACGAACTCAATGTGTGTTGTGTATGGTTGTTGTTTTTTTCGCCTCTTCCTTTTTATTGCAATTGTTGGCTAGTTTTTTTTTCTTTCTTTCTTTATTGAATGCGTTAACGAAATTAATAAGATCGGCACGAATTGTGGGACTGACTGTCTTACTAAAATTGAGGCTTTAAAATTGATTTAGTCGCGCGCGCACACACACTGACGCACACACTTTATTTTTTTATGTTTTTTTCTCTTTTTTTCATTCACAATATGCATGGAAATCGCTTCGGTCGCTTTGCTAAATTGCTCAATGACTGTATAATAATTGTGATGATTTTTTTTTTCGCGTGCGTATAATATATCCGCTTGTTCTCTCTTTTTCACTCGATTCGTTTATCACCGTATTTCTTCTTTCGGTTGTGGCTGTTGTTGCGAAGAAAGAAAAAATAACTTCAACTCAGGATGACGTTAGATGTGTTAAAAACTAATTTCTTCCTTTGATTTCGTTTCGTGTGTGCGGGTTTTCTTTGTTTATTTCCTTAACACAAAATGAAGAAACGAACTGTTTCGCGATTAAAAGCAATAAACAACACTTTATTCACAGAAAAATTAAACTTAAAAAATTGAATTTTTTCGAAGAAGAAAATTACACGCAAAAATCAGGTGATTAATTGTTGTTTTCTGTTTTTATTCAAGAGTTTGCTGTGTGTGTGTCCCAAATCACAATCACTTATTATCTAAACAAAAAATAAACACGGTCAAAAAAATGTGCGACAGCAAAATGTCACCACACCAAAATGAACCAATATATATTTCGTTTCTCTTACTCTTGAACAATTCAGCGTAGCACACTGGCGAATTATTCAATCACAGAAAATGCGAATCGGCTTGACTCTTCGTATCACATAAAACAATATGTGAAACAAGTATAACGATGTCTCTGTCTATCGCACCGCCAGCTCAATCTTCGATTTCACTTCACTGCTCTGGCTATATGTATCGACAATGTTAATTTATCAACACACAGTGAGAGAGCGAAATAAAAAACAACAAGCTTGTTTGTTCAGTTCTGCTAGTTTTGACGTACTCTTTTTTTTTTGTTCGTCGTGTATTTGTCGTTGTTCGGATGTTCGTAAGCAACAACAAGAATTTTGTAATAACAGCAGCAGCTAAATTGCATGTATTTTGTGTGTATCCACTTGTCTCCCTCTTCATACGCTTCATTCGCCTTTATTGGCTATGATTATTACTCATTTATACAATACGTTTTGTTATAATCGAGTCAAAGCGACTTTTTTTTGTTCCTCCTTTCGTTCGTATAGGTAGAACGGTGTCTTTCACTTTAATATTTTGTTTTGCCTAGATTTTTGTTGTTGTCGAATTTTATTCGTCGTTTTCGATGCACATTTCACGCACATTTAATGAATGTCACACCTAATGATTTAGTCACAAACAATTAATGCACATTTAATGTGTTAAATAAATAAACAAATCGAAAATGTTGAAATGATTTACGTTTCGAAAATTAAACAGAAGAACAGAATGAATTTTTGTTGGAAAGCGAAATACGAATGTAACTCTTCTTTTGTCACTGTGTCAATCGTACCTCATGTTCACAATGTATATGTGTGTTTAACCAGATTCAGATGTATTCGATTCTCGTATGTGCGTTTTAATTTATTTTTTTCCTCTTTTTTCATATTGATATACGTCTCGCATGGCGAATGACGTCTTCTTTGCTCGTATTTGTGTGTATTCGGCTACATGTGCGGCGACCGCCTGTCAAACACTATTCTAGTACAATATCGAGAATGTTCGAATTCGAATTTTTCATAACAAGATTTAGTTTTTTTTGAAAAAATAATAGTAATCATTGAATCATTTTCCAATTTTTGTGTGTCTTTTTACGTTTAAAAATGTCAACTCATTCATTCAAAAATAAAAGTTTCATTTTCGACCTCAAACTCTTTATTCGTTACATTCAAAACCGGTAATCATCATAGGCCGACGTACTAGATTTTCCGTTTGAAGTTTCGCACATTCGATGTGACGTTTAGTGAATTGAATGTTTTACGCAAAACCGTGTACAACATCCATCATAATGATTTTTGTTTGATTCGCATCAAAAGCATCTCACTCTCTCAACCAAATACTGTGCTCCGATTGACTGCAAATTTTTTTTTTCATTGTTATTTGTATTGTAAAATTGAATCGGATTTTTTTTTCATTGAAACCACGAACAAAATTGGTAAATTGTAAAATTAGGATCGGAATTTGTATAAAACGAAATTAGCAGTGCAGCAGAATGGATACGGCAATCGATGTAAAAACACTTGAAGAAGCTGTAACCGTATTTTATCGATCGGGTGCACAACAACAATCAGCGGCACATGATTGGCTTACCAAAGCCCAATTGAGCCCGCAAGCATGGTCATTTGTGTGGGATCTAATGCAACTCGGCAAAGTAAGTGCTAAATTCACCATTTTTCACATTCAAATTACTTATTGAAATTTAAACCAAAAATTCCTCTTATTTCTTCTTACAGTCATCAGAGATCCAATTTTTCGGAGCAACAACGCTGCATACAAAACTACTGAAACATTGGCATGAGGTACCGAAAGAGAATCGAGATGAGCTTCGACAAAAACTATTCCAATCGATTATTGTTTATGCAAATGGGCCCAAAATTGTGCTCAATCGCCTGTGCATCTCGGTAAATATTTTGAATGAAAAAAAAATAGGCGACCGTGCTATCTATGTTGTTATAACTATTTTGTGTGTGCATCATTTCCATTTCTAGTTGAGTGCATTCATCGTTCACATGATTACGGAGCATCCAAATGCAATTGAAGATATCGTGAATACATTTCAAAGTGAACAAATGCCAAATGTCAACCAAGAAACACAGTCGTGGATTTTAATGGAAATTCTCGGAGCCGTTCCCGAAGAGGTATTATTTTTTGATTCGCTTTGAATGTGTCAGTCCAAATGGAATTTTTTCGATCCAATTGGAATGACTATCTTTGTTTCTTGACTAGTTTTTTCAATGAATTTTAACCCATTTTTTCATTGACTATTTTTTTTCATTAGACGAACGTAATGTACACATCAGTCCAAAGAGTGGCTGTGCAGGGTGAAATTTGTAAGCGAACGCCGTTTGTAATAAACACCGTGCAGCAGTTTATTTTATCAAAATTGGAGGAAACTATCAACGATAATGACATGGCTACATTACTTCGGGCGGTCAAATGTTCGGAAGCTTGGTTAAAGTTAGTATCTCTTCATTTGGATTGACCCAATTTCATGAATGAATAAAAATAATGTATAATTTACTGTAGAAATGGCAGTTTCCCCCTCGATAATTGCGAAATTTTAACTGGAGCGCTATTAAAGCTGATAAATAGGTGCTACTGGAACACAACCGACTCGGAGGGTTGCATGACGTCTGATGAAAATGAACTATCCGAGGCGTGTATTAAAACTTTAACGGTAAATATAGGCGAACATGCATTTTTCCCATAGTGCATATGAAAAAACAGCACCGAATGTATTAAAAGTGTTGTGAACATTAGTGGAATTTATTATATATATGTGTGTTTTTTGTGTGCAATCTAGACCGGATTGATTCAACCGGATGCACATCGATTTCCGAACTCTGCATTGCATTTGCTCAACATAATCGTTGAGTCACTGTCGCACATCACCAAAGCAGAATGGAAGGAGAATAATCTCAATGAAGATATTGCATTCAATATATACACACTGTTCATATCGTCGATTGAATGCCACTCCAGACTATTAATTCAGGGTGTGTTGAGCGAAAGCGAAGAACATCGAAATTTGTATATGCGGTTAATACAAGAAGTACTATCATGCACTGATAAGCCAGGCATTTATCCGGTTGAAGAGTCATGCAGCATTTTGGCAATGGGCTTTTGGTATATGCTCCAGGATGAGGTGCTGTCGAATGACACCGTAATGCCGATCAAAAACAAAGGATTAGAACTAATCGGACCACTGTATTCACATTTGGCAAAAATTCTCGTACGAAAAGCCCAACAACCCGACGAAATTTCCATCGATAAATGGACAGCGGACGATTTAGAGACATTCCGTTGCTATCGGCAGGATATTTCAGACACGCTGGTAATTTGAAAGTCCAAATTTTATATCATTTTGTGAGTGAAAAATTGTTTGGGGCAAAAAATGTCGATGAAAAATTGTTTGGTCGAGCCAAAAGTCGAACTTTCAGCCTTAATATTTTGTATTTTTTGAAAGGAGAAAATATTGAGTTTTCGTCTCTTTTCACAGCTTTACTGTTTCGAAGTGCTTCATAATCATCTGTTGGAAATTTTAATCACATATCTCGATGAGTGTATCGTTAACATTCAGCATGATCCCACCCAATGGACACAGTTAGAAGCTTGTGTTTACGCCATATATTCAATAGCCGAACACATTGAGAGCGACGAACGAACCGGATTGCCAAAGTTTATAATGATTTTAAGCGAAATACCTTACGATAAATTGCATGAAAAATTATTGGGAACGGCATTAGATTCGATAGGTAAGACGTTGATCATTGAGCCCTTGATCTGAGATTAAATCGGTTTATAATCATACCAGGTGCATACAGTGAATGGTTCAAAGATAATCCTACTTACATTCCGCAAGCGATTCGAGTATTGGTTGTCGGATTGAATTCCAACCAAACCGCACAAGCGTCGCTCGGTTTGAAGGATTTGTGCCGTGAATGTCAACTCCACTTGAAACCATACGCTGAACCTCTGCTTCAAGCCTGTTTGCAAGCCATCAACAACGGTCATCTGATCAATTCGGACGAAGTGCGTCTTATGTACAGCATTGGCAAGCTAATGAGCATGTTGCCACCTGAAGATGTGCTTCGATGGTTGGATATCGTGGTGTCACCTTGCTTCTCCGAATTGCAATCTCTTGTACAAAGCCAAACCGTAAGTTGAACAGATTGGATATGGATATCGTTTGGGATAATTGAAAATGTTTAAAATATTTGAATCACAAACGAAACACACACTTCAACCAACAAATAATAAAATTCTTCAATATTTCCACAGTTAAATGAGCCAAATAAAGTGCGCACAAATTTCCGCTTAAATATGATTTCAACGTTATTCTCATCACTGAATACCAAAGTCAAAAACGGTGAAGATGATGCTCAAGCCGTGGAAGCGAGCGAATCAATAACTCAACCGGTCTTACTCATTATGCAAAAGACAATGCCGATATTCAAAGATATTGCAACGCTCTGGATCAATGATATGAACGTCATTGAGGTGTGTCTCTCTGTTTTTATTTTTTATTTTTGAACGAAGAAATGTATTTTCGATTGTTGTTCGTATTCAGAAATGAACATCCAAAAAACGCATTAAATAAACCGTTTTTTTTTTCTTTCGATCAGGCACTTTGCTGTGGCTTAAAATATGCCATCACCAATTTAATGGACGATTTCCAACCAATGTTGCCCGATTTGTGTAATCTGATCGTGGCCATTCTGCAATCGAAATGTGTTGCACCAGCTGTTGATATCGCAAAATCAGTAAATAACCCACAATGCCATCCTAATTTAGACCATGGTCAATAATCATTTCGTCATTTTGTCCTTTTTCAGTGTATATTTTTGTACTACAAAACTCCAGCCTGTACGCCAATCATGCGGCAATTATTGATTCAAGTGATTTTGTACAATTTCCAACTGATCGAACAGACACCGGCCGCGGATCGTTCGGGTATTTCTGATGTGCTCGAATCATTTTTGAGTTTCTGTGCACTCATTGCGAAAAAAGTACCAAACGCCTTTGATGACAATGAAATCGACTGCGATAAATTAGTTAGTTATGGTGAGTAAAAAGCTATGGACTTTATAGCTTATATTATCAAATAAATTTTAACGACAAATTTCCATATATTGCAACAGCCATAAAAGTATTGGTATTGCCTGAAAGCGGAGTGGCAAAACATGCGGTGATGTTCTTGCAACATTTCATCATTCAATCGCGATCATTTCGACATGCAACTAATGCTATTTTGAAAAACGGCGAAGAATTGATTCAAACCACATTGCTGTGTATTGCCGTCTATTCACAACGCACGCACGTCGAAGTGTTTGCCGATGTATTTGTGGCGCTCAACAAAAAATACCCTGCCGAACTGATTGCCTGGCTCAAAGTGTTGGAGGTCAACGAATTTCCAACGGCCACCATATCGGCCGTGGAGAAGGATCGCTTTATGAAAGCCATCATTCGGTATGTTTTTGTGTTGGATTAGATTCAATTAATTTTGAATTCTTGTTTTTATTTTCTTTAAATCGGATTCGATCAAATATTTCTTATATTTTCTTCGCTTTATTTGCAACAGTGAAAAGGTGAACAAACGCTTAGTACAAGGATTGATTCGAGAATTTGCCGCCAAATGCCGTGAAATAATGATTCAAATTCCATAGACAAGAATGTAAATGTCACAATTACAAACCTCGAGTACAGCTACCCATTTGGCAGCAGTTCAATTGTCTAAACTTGGTCAAAGCCAAAATATGGTCGTTGTAAACGATCAAACCGATTTTTAATTAACATCTCGATTTTCTATGCCATTTGTATACAACTAATCTACTGTACCATTTCGAACAATTTTTATCGAACACTCTCAATTTGAAATGAAAAACAAAAAGTAAAACAAAAACAAGGAAAACCATCAATCGATTATATATTGGAATACATATGTGATTTTACGGATATTTAAATTGTAATGTAGTTTAGGAGACAGCTAAGCGATTAAATTGCATAGAATTTTGTGTATTTTTAGTAGATTTCATATTCAATTGGATCGATGTACGTGTGTGCATATGTGGCGAGTCATAGGATTTTAGTGCGATTTTCAATATGTATTTAATATTTATGAATAATTAAGGTGTGCTTTAACTAAATGAAAAATTGCAAAAACAAATGTGTGCCTGTTTTATTCTTCTTTGTCAATGTTTAGCAGGTAATTTATTTGCAAACCGGTGGGATTAAACGAAAATCTCTTTTATTTCTTAGAATCGAGTCGGTTTTTCTTGACAGTATGATGTGTTATACATCATGTGTTTCGGTTTCCTTTGCAGGTATTGATTTCAAAGGATTAGTCGGTGATGATCGATTCTTATATAAACTCATGACATTTCAATCCGAAGTTAGTTGCGTTTCAGTTGTTGACTTCAACACGTTTTCTTAAAAAAATATCAAGAAGAAATCTTAAAAAAATATCTAGAAGAAAAAGAATTGGAAATCTGTTCGAAGTTAAGTTTATCATTCGTTGGAAAATGGCACAATTACTGGATGTCGACAATCTTTGTTTGGAGAAAATATGTGAGTGTTTAAATTTGATTGATGTTCTAAACGTGGCTGATACAAATAAGCGATTGAGAGGAGTTGCTCAAGTTGTGTTTAGTCGCGAGCATAGCATGAAAGAGATCAATATTGAACAGTTTATCAATTTTCTTCTCGAAAAAACGTTCAACACATTGGAGCTCAGTCAAAATGGAATATGTTGGAGTGAGAATCAGGATGATGTGTGTGCATTAAAAATCACGCTGCAATTTCTACGTTGTTTTGGTAATTTGCTTACGAAATTGGAAGTGCAATATACAAACAGTTGCACAAAGAGTTGTACAATGATTAGTCGATACATCAACCAATTTTGTTCTGCATCATTGGTCAAAATAAAATTCTACGATATAAAAGAGAGCGATTTTTTGATTGAGCAGCCATTTTCCGCTGTAGAAGAAGTTGAGTTTGCTGATTGTCGTGTTGGAAAAGAGCTGTCCCAATTCCACCGTTGGTTTCCGAAAATGCGACGGTTGAGTTTGTTTTGCAGTGAACTAGCAGAACCCATTAACATTGTCACACATTTTCCCCATCTGAAAGATTTATCATTTTCTGGATTCTGGGAAGCAAATTATGTAGAAAATGTTACGGCCGCTCTACGTTTAAATCCACAATTGAAAAGACTGGAACTCGGTCCATTTTTCAAAGATGCCAAATTTCTTCAATACATTAGCAAATACCTTCAGAATCTTGAGAGCATGAAAATTAGCTGGGACTTGGATCGGGTGTATAATTTAAAAAATATTGAAATCGATTTCAAGAATGTAAGGGAGTTTAAGTTGTGTGTGTACGGAAATAAACCATTGCCAAAACTTCCGTTTTCATTTAAACGACTTCAGGGATTCACGTTGAAATCCAATAATCGCAATTTAAATGACAATGTGATTGTTTTCCTTTCCAAGCATCCAACGATCACCAAACTATCACTGATCGGATTGGGAGACGCACAGGATGTTCTGGCTGTCACCAACGAAATGCAGACTCAAATAGCAAAGACATTACCGTGTTTGGAAAAGATCTACTTTATTAATTTTGAAATGTCTGTCAATGGAGTTGATCAATTCTTGGGTAATTTCAAATCACTGCAAACATTTCTATTCACTCTTGATGATGGTACGAGGGCGAATCTGAATTATTTAAATTGGTATATGGGACACCAGTGGGAAATATATACCGTTGGCATTCGCAGATGCGTTAACCCAATCATTAAATTGAAACGAAACATTTTGAATATTCAAATTAGCAGCTTTGAATAACTAATATAGTTCCATTGAACCACTTGTTTATTTTATGCCAGCCGATTTTTCTTCAAACATGGTTTTATTGTAGTACTTTAAAAGAAGATTTAAAAAAAAAAAACAAAGTAAAATATATTTTATGACCTGAATCGTTTTTAATCATGAAGCCAAGCATTTTTCCTTTGAATTTTAACACATAGGTGCTATGGATTTATGACTCCTTAATCACTACTAACTTTGATTGCATACAAACATACAACACAAGTAGTTAGCATGTCAAATAGTTCTCTGTTGGCTCAAAAGGTGAACTAAATTGAAATGGAAAGCAGTTATGACTCGAATTCCACCATTTGATAGAAAAATGGTGTTGCAAAAAGGTTGGAAAAGTGATTTAAATATTGGCAGCTTTTTTTAACTGTACATCGATATTTTCGAATATCTTTATTTTTGTGCGTACGTGGCTGACTCGACTAATCTCTGAAAAATCGAATGTGGAGATTATTGCACTGCATTTGTAGCCCCAAAGTGTTCCATTTTCTTCATACAAAATTATTTGCAAAGTATTGCGAGTATCCGTATCAGATAAAGTCTTCAAAGCAATCTCTTCGTTGTTTTGGACATTTAATTCCACATATGGTAGTTTGTAGTGAAGAGAAAGTTGGAATTTTCAATCGTCGAAAACTTGAAATCAGCGTCGATTTGAATGTTAATTTTATCGATTTTATTTCCAAAAATCCATTCATCATTAAATTATCCGTACGTAGTAGTTGTGAGGACGATTTTCTCATTATTTATGATGAAATGAAGGCAGGAATAATAAAGATGTTGCCAGCACTTGAAGAAATCAATTTTTCAAATTCTGTGCTTTCAGCAGAGCGTGTTTTGAGCAGTGTTATGAGCAGCACTAACTAACGTCAGCTGCTGACGAGTATGCGTTGCGTTGTTTCAACGCATTTGCAGTATAAAATTGATTGAACGATCCATTATTATGATTGAACGATCCAATGTTATGATTGCTTACCCTTTTGTTTTTATACTGCAAATGCATTGAAACTCGTCAGCAGCTGATGTCAGCAGCTGACGTTAGTTAGTGCTGCTAACTTCAGCTCATAACACGCTCTGGTTTTCAGTTGTCGATGCGATTGAGTTCTCAAATGAATTTAAATCATTGAAAGAGTTTGTATTTAAATTTCATGATAAATCAGAGTTGAATCGTCGATATCTACAATCAAGAGTGGGGAATAAATGGAAAATAACGTATTTGGATTCGGATGATTTCCTTAGTAACATAGAAGACTACTCAGATGCAGATGAAGAGTGGAACGGAGAGTCAGAAAATTATTCGGATGATGATTCAGACGATGAATGTTTAGTCCTAGTTTTGGTCCAACTTGAAAGGAATATTTGAAGCAATTGAAATGAAATTGGAATAAAGCATTCTTCGAAATGGGCTACTTCTTTTTTAACAAACACAAGAATAAAATGATTATTTTTAATCAACAAGTTCAAAATATTGAAAAAAGCAACGAATATAGGTTCGTAGAATACAAATAAGTGTTTATGATAGGCTAGCAATAGAATTGTATTTGTATTGTAGTATTTTGAGAATGTTGAAATGAAAAAATAAATAAATTTTATGACCGGGATTGGTTTTTAATGATGGATTTAAGCCGAGCATTTTTCATTTGAATTTTAACACACAGGTGCTAAGGATTTGTGACTCCCTAGAATTTACTAACTATGTTCACATACGAACATACAACAAAAGTAAGTAGCATGTGAAATAGTTTTCTAGTAATTTGTAATCGGGAAAATAATAGTAGAAAAGTAATCGAAAAGTAATCCACGTGCAAAAATCACCGTAGTGCGCTCGAAACCTATATAAACAATTTTATTATATTTGACAATATTTGAGTCGATGTCAATGACGATGTGGCAGCGCCACCTACAAGGCCACCCATGTAGATTCCTTATTAAAATAAGTGAAACTAATGAAAGCGTGCACCATATCGTACGTAAATTTTCAATATGGCGGCGCCCATAGAATTGAAACGTTGACCAATTTTTGTAGTCACGAAATATCACCGTACGTAGCTCACCCTTACCAGTAAGTTTGAAACGGAATTTCCAATCTATCAACACATATTTAAGTGCAATTGAAAATCTCACGAAATCTCCGAGTTTTATCTTCAATCAATTTAATTATCATTTCAGAAGGGTGAAATTTTTCGTTTATGATCTAGATGATTCGGAACTCCCGTTCTCAGTTGAAATACTCGAAGATTTCGACCATGAAATCTCCGGCAAATTGAACGATAATTTCATTGATTTTATTTCAGAAAATCCATTCTTCATTAAATTATTATCGGTAGTTACGTAGTAGTTTTGGGGATGAATCTCTCATTATTAATGAAGACAGGAATAATAAAGATGTTGCCATCACTTTCCCACATTCGGTGTTTTCAGAATGAAGAATGCAAATCATTCGAACATGCTTCATAACAAAAGTAAATATAATTGGATTGATCAACACTCACTCTCGTTATAATCGAGTCATATGTTTTTCAGACGAAATCCGATATTTTAGTTATTTAAAAAAAGCAACTTCATTTCATTTCGGGGAGGGTTTGATATAATAGATTCAAATTTTTTTTTTTCAAATTAAAAATTTTTTTTCCTTATGCCAACGATTGCTGGTGTTGATTGCATCTAGCTCTTGCTTATTAACGCGGTACAAAATCCGGTTAAGTCCCGTTTATTTTAAATTCCAAATGAATGCTTCGCACATGCATGATGGTGCTGCAATTTTAAAACATTTCTTCCGCAAAATTTTACGTACCGGATTTCTATTGGCATAAACCAAAATAACCTAATTGAAATGAATATGTATGGACAAGATACAACGTGTTTTTGCAAGAATATTGCACACTGAATAGATTTAATTGGATTTCTTGCAATCTGTTTCCATTGCCATCGTATGTGTGGTGCGCCTCAATTATTATGGGAGCAGTACTCTCACTCTCCCTCGCAGACACATACATAGTTAAATGTAATGTTTATCGGACGTTTTCTAATCAAGACACAAGTGCACAGCATGCTCAGCGGAAAAACCAGTAAAATCTCTGTTTCGGTTTGAGAATAACATCGGGATGAAGTGATATATTCACATGCCAACTGTGTGACGTTTCCATTACGTTTCGATCGAAACCAACCAACGACAAGACACATGGACAACGGATTCAAGGCAATGGCATTTCACATGTCATGTTATTTAAAATTGCATTTGATGCACATATGTTTCAATTAAGTCGAGGCAATTTTTCTCCGACTTTACCATGTTCAATGTATTGAATTTGAAATATTTGAGCTTTTTCGAGAGAAAAAAAATGATGTTACATCCGATTACACATGAACATGTGTTTCACGGATCAAATGTTTGATAAATTAATAAAATTGAATGGAAATTTCAATAAAATAATGAAAAACACATGAACTCACACTATTAAGGAGAATAATCAGCCATTGCAGCCTTTAAAAATACAACAAGCTGAATTCGAATGAAGTTGATCGCAGTTCATGCATTTTGTGACAATTATTGCGGAAGGTTGGCGATACGTTTGCGTAAACGTTGTCGCAAAATTCTTGTAGGGAATCTGCTCTAATATAAATTTTTTGGTGTTATTTTCAGATTTTATATAGCTAAGACAGCTGGTTTTTTCAGTTGAATAAAGAATCGACCGATTTTGTGCATATTGTGAGAAATTGTAGAAATGTGTTGGTTCGTTCTAGTGGTCTATAATGCGATTATCACTCACGTCTCTATATTCTAGGCTATCAAGTGATTCTCAACCCCAAGAACTTTTCACTCGATATGGCATTTCCAATGTGGATAGCAACAAAATTGTTTTAATGCAACTAGTAAATATGCAAGTAGTCAACCACGCAATTTTAGCTCGTACGCAAGCTAAGTGTGCCTATGCTCACAAGGCAAATACAATGGACGTCAACAGCAAGCACAACTACCATTTGGTTTGACGTTTTGCTATCAAGTTAGTTTAAGTAGCTTAAATGTAAGTTAAGTAACAGTAAAGTACTGAGCTTCATGTCAAGTCTTCTGATAAGTCTAAACCTTAATGATTTCTACAAAAATCAAAAGATGGCGTTAGGGTCTAGCATTTGCCTTGTGCCTATGCTGTTTTCAAGGCATGTTTTTTGTTATATTTCAATGAAATCAACACGTGTTTGAGTTTCAAATATTTGCAATGTATGGACACGTTTTATAACTTGATTTGCGGATTTAAAAGTGATCACACCTAAATCTAACATTTTAAAATTAGTGTATGATGCAAATAAACCGTCAAACAATTGACATCTGACGGTCGTTTAGTGACTAAAAAGTAGTGACATTTTTCGTTCGTTTATTGCTAAATGTAAATCAACTCGCGTATAAGTGTCGTCGACTACTAGTTTACATATTCCATATTTTGGTGTGATTCAAGTTCTATTGCCATATTAACTTCTTTTTTTTTAAATGGCACATATGGATTCGAGTTTTTTAGCTATTTTAATTCACGACTGAGTCAAACGACTTGTCAAATTGGACAACGTATGCAAATCGGTGCCTCAAATGACAAATATTCGAATCAATGTGGAACGAAACATTTGTTGTGGAAAACACAACATGTGTTGGAATTCGACATTTTCAAATATTTTGTTAGGTCAAAACCATTTTATTTCTGTTTGTGTAATTTTAACAAAATAACTTATTTTTTTCGCTTCCAATTTTTTTTTATAAACAAAAAGGAGTAACAACAAATCAATTGAAATTATTTGTTAGAATTGAAAAGAAATAAGTTGGGAAATTGCATTAAATTTTTTTGGTATTTTCGGCGAGTATTTTCATTGTAAATATTGATGAATTTATGCAATCCACTTTACTCCACAATAAAACAATTTTTTTCATAGATAAAGATTTCTTGTTCTGAATTCAAAATAAACCAAATGTATTCATTTCAGCTGCCACAATCGAAATAAACCTGGAAGAAAAGCACACGTTAAAAGAATTTACGCCTGTTTAAATGACAAAGTTGTACATGCCGTCAGGAATTTGTGGGACGAATTGCATGGAAAATGAGTGGATAGAGAGATAGAGAGAGAGAGCGAGTGAGCGAGTTATGCTTGAGAGAATACGGGGTCGGTTGCAATATAATGGTGTGAGCCGAGAGTCATTGACAGCCGCGTCATACATACTCATAAATAGTCGGTAATTCACCAATAAAATGCTTTCGGTGGTGTAACAAACATACGCTCACATGCATGCGGTGGGCATTCTCTCTCTCTCTCTCTCTTTCTCTCGCTGTCGGCACACTGGTGTACGGATTAGAATCCATCAACGGTAGTATACTCCAAGGGAGAGCGCCGCGACTTATGCTTCTCAGTGAAACTGTTATTTCATTATAAGAAAACAGAAACACCCATATTTTCCACGATTTTCTCATTTCTTATTGCCATTTGTTGTGTCGTATTTGTTTTTCACATGCGCAAATAAGGTCAAAGCAGCATAAGGCCACGAGCAAAAAGAAGTAAAGCACTCTCTCTCCACTCCGTCACCGTCGAGGCAGAAAAGACATGCACACACACACACAGACATAGACACGCCATTCGTAGCAACAAATACTCAACGATGTAAAAAAAATGCTCTGACTCGGTTCAGCGGGATGTGATACCGCTCACATTGTGTAAGACGAAAGCGTCGATTCGTGTGGCAAATCTAATCAAATAGGAAAGCAACTCAACTGGCATTGGGATGAGAGCGTGTGGTGGAAAGAGGGGAAATGATTGTAAATGCACGTGGCATGAGTAAATAAATTGAGCGTTTCACTCAAAGTGTGGAACTTGTTTCCGTTGAACATGAACGCTCGAATGAATTCCGTGTGTGTGTGGGGATAAGTGTGGCTCGGTGGCTGCATCCACTCTGCAACAGCGTTCAAAATTCATTTCAATGACTCTTGGTGCGCTCGGTTGAAACTGTGTGCTTCGAAGAAGTGCGTTTGGTATGCTCGACATCGATTGAGAATGTCCAAATCAGTACGATTCAAAGAGTGCAGCAGAGCGGTCGCTTTCGGTAGTTTCGTCCGACCCGAAATAAATAATAAAGGTGTCTAAATCAAAAAATTAACGCATCAACAATCATTCAAATGTAAATTAAAACCGAAAAATAAATTTGACTATATTTAATTCGCTGGTTAAGCAAATTGAATTTTATTCTTTAATCAAATGTCAACAAACGCGAATACAAACCTCGAATTAAAATTTATCCGAATCAAAAATACTAATTAAGTCAGGTTAATAATTGGCATATCATAAATCCATTTAAAAAATTTCGCCGAACGGGTAAATTTGAATGCGATTATATCAACGCGGGGAAACGGCGCGATTATCTCAAGCCTATCCAGTAGCAAATTTGGTGTTAAACAAACGGATCATTTTATTTCAATTTCGAATAAAATCAACTGCATGCGTATTTGCTTTGATTGTTGTCCTTTTATTGATGGTTTTTTTTTGGCAAATTTAGAATATCAAATTATCAATCCGAACAAATTTCTCTGTAAAAAAAATATTGCGCACAAAATTGTTCAACAAATTAGTTGAGCGATAAAAACGAAACGAAAGAAGAGAATGAAAAGCGACAAACACACCATCGACCATCGAAAATAATAGCCATTTATAATTTATTGGCTTCACATAATTAAATCAGTGTAAGTTGGTGTTCACTGGACATTGATGATGACGTGAAAACAATATTTAACCGACCATTTTTTTGGTTGTTGTTGTTTGGCCTGGTATTTGGATCCGTATGTTCACCGAACGAGAAATTGTACTGGTGCAATATATAATTTGTTGTTGTTGTGGGTCGTTGTTAAAACTGTTCATCCCAAATAATTGATTTATTATTTATCTTCAGTCAAAATACCCGATAATATCGCCATGCTTTCAATGACATTTTTTTTGAATAATTGCAACGAACGAGCAATCACATTAAATATGTGTACTTTTTTTGCTGTCGCGTGATAGACAGTGTTTTTGGATCAACACAACTTGGGACGAATAGTTTTTGGATGTTGTCAACATCGTATTTCATTATTCGTCACAATCAATTTGATGCCGTTTAGGTGTTATCTGCATCACCACATTTGATTTGTAAAAATGCGAAAAATTCGTTCGGCCAACTGAAATCAGAGAAAATGTGCCATTTTTATATCAATGTTTGGCTCAATTTTAGAATTTAATGAAAAATAAAACGCTTAAAGTGAAATAACGAAATTGGTTTTTCAAACCGATCACACACACAGCGAGTGATAGAGACGTGTACTGAGTTTATTTGGTTTATTTGGACGATTTGGTTATTGATTTGACTTTCACACGGGAATAAAAGCCGGACTAGTGTGCGACCCTTGAAACATCCCCAAAAACTTTAGTTGAATTCGTGGTTTGGTAAATGTGCGCGGTAAACCAGATGCGTATGTTTAAAATTACGATAATTTCGGTTTTCGGGAAAACATTCGGGCCACTTGTACACATTTGTTGCAACAATTTCCGATTGCTACTCTCTCTCTCTCTCTCTATTCGTCGTGTCCGAATTGGATTTTGCTCGAACATGCTACCAAAATCGAATACGTGTTCTGTGTGTATTTTTAACCGGAGTATGATTGCACAATGTGCACCAAATTTTTGGCAAATCGATAAGCGATCAAATCGCCACCAAGCGAGCGAGAGAGAGTGAGTGAGAACCGATGATTTTGTTTAGTTAATGCATGTAGTCGATGGCATTCGCATTATATTGAGGCAAGTTTTAAGCTTTTAACTAATACCATTGAGCCGAAAACTTCAAATCGCATTCGGTCCGATCGCTTTTTTCCCCGCATTCGCCCGAAAGCGAAAAAAACACACACAACATATTGATTTTATACAATTTTTTTTCTCTCTCTCTCTCTTTAGACTTTGTTTTTGTTTATCGGTTACTTTTTATGTTGGTTTACATTTTGCAACAAATATAAATATTTATTTGTGAACAAAGAAGAGCGTCCGAGCAGCAGAGAGAAAAAAGCCGTTTACAAATTTATAGTTTCCACTCGGTGCATCAATAAAATGCGACGGACGACAAATTTTTGCCAATGCGTGCCATTCACACAGCAATTTTCAGTACACAAACGATATAAAATACGGTCGCTACATTTTTTCTCTTTCTCTCGGTGTGTGTGTGTGTGCTATTTCGGCCATCGACCACGTTCTCACCTGTACAGGTGTTTAGTAAACTTGAAAATAAAAAGGAAATGCAGGCGAAAAAAAATTAAATAAATACACAACATGCACTAAAAATGAATGGCACAACAACGGCAACGGCAACAGCAAAAGAACAAAAAGCTGAACACACGAACCGAACTCGTTACAAACCAGAAAGAAAAGCAATAAATGACAAGCACATGATGTACGCGCACAATTTTTGGGGTACAAATTGTAGCGCGCTGGTTGAAAAACATACCAACCAAAACTATAGGTACACACCATACAGGCGAATACATAAAACTGTGTGTGAATTGAAAATAGTATTCTGATTATAAAACGGAAAAATGTGTACAACTGAATGAAAGCAACACGACCAGAAGCAAAACGACCAGAAGCAAAAAAAAAAAATATTTCATCGAATTTTCAATGGAAACATTTATTTGGGTTTTGCATTTCCATGAGAGTTCCTTCCATTTCTAGATTTATATAATTTGTACAGTTTAATCTGTCGCAGTTTTTCTCTCCGACTCGTTTTTCCCTTTTGTTCACACCATTTTTGTTCGTTTTATTGACGTTTATCAGGCGCGCGTGTTCGTTCGGTTATTATACTTTCCGTATGTTTTTGTGATTTTTATTAGATTTTGTGCTGAAGAGGTAAATAAATCATACGGTTTGTGTTGCGTGCTCTCTGGTTACAGTAAACAATATTCCCTGGACTTTGTAATGCGAACAATATGTATGGTAAATTCCTGTTGGCCACTGGCTCATACAACTGTTCAACAGCAGCCAGCAGCAACAGACGGCTATCTCCGTACTTGATACACACACCGTTTGCTTTCGTCGCTGCAATTCCATTTTTCCGCATGTAATTCGAAACAATTTTCTTTCGGCTACAGATTTTTCAAACCAAAAAAATGGTTTTTACTTTCTCTACCTCTCGCGATCGGTATTGCGAATCGGAGCACGAATTTTTTGTCCCGTTGTCGTCGTCGACCACACAACGATGATATTCGACATTTCGTTACGTTGTCTATTGCTTGATTTAAATTTGAAATATGCATTTTTCAATTTATTTATCGACACAGTGAGCGTAGAACACAAGAGCCTATGTCTCTCCCTCTGTGTGTGTGTGTGCGTTTGATTCGGAATCGTGGATCGCACGTTTGTTTGTACGTTTCATGTGCACTGTGCATGCATGCAAATTCACTTGAATCAATATAGATTACGATGGAAAATCACGATTGAATGTACTTTTCAGTTGGCCGTTTTTCATTTTCGATTCGATTCTCACTTACTCACTCGCTCTCTTTCCCTCTCATTCTCTCTTCGTTTGCCTCTGTTCCAAAGCGGCTTTGTACTGGCTGCCTAACTCTCACCCCTCGACTATTCGTTTTCTCACATTTGAATCGCTATCGAATGCAGCAGCAGATAACAAAAAAACAAACAGAGAACAAATACAGCCCATTATTGCTTCGGCATCTTTGCGAACGAGAGAAAAACTGCCTCTGTTTGTGTGTATGTGTCCGTCAATTTTTTTTCCCTGTTTGTTGTTCGAACGCTTCGTAGCGATTTAATTAAATTAAAACTGAAATGATTTTTTTAGCCATTTCCATTCGACCATCGACTATATTTAGATTTAGATGCTGTGAATTGTGTTAGCCGCTTTCCACTTTGACACTTGCCGATGCGAATTGCAATCGTTTTTCGCCAACACGATGGAAAACAAAAAGAGAACAAACATAAAGCGAAAAAAACAATTTATGGAGCGAAAAAAAAACACGTTTCTCGTCGATCCATTCGAACCGGCGCAGCTTTTTGTATGCAAATCGAGCACAATCGAATTACGTTCCGATTGAAATTCGTAGCATGTAGTTAAAGTTCGGAAGTGCTGCTTACACACAATAACCATTGGTTATTGACTGGCAAACGAAATCGAGAGAGTGAAACAGAGAACAAGTGCATAGAGCGATAGACTTTCACAGCAAATTCGATTTAATTGCTCAATTAGCGGTCGCTTGTTAAGGCACACTCAATATAGACAGCTTCTCATTCACCACTCTTCAGCCAGTTTATATTTATGAAAAAATTTCCGCCCGTTTTCTCAATAAATTTCTTACGTTGGATTTGCCCGAAAACCACAAATTGCTGCCACAAATTGCTGCTCTCTTTTATGCAAATATTTTATTGCTAATTGCCAGTGCCATAAATAGATTGTTTGTTAGCTGCCGCATTTGTTTTTTTGTGCCCCATTCCGCAGACACTGTTCGGTGCAATGCAATAAAAATGAGAAATATCAAGCAATTTTCAATAACTATAATTTAAGTAATGAATTGAATGTCACCAATTTTAATTACTCAATTTATGAGCGAATCGCGTCTCCGATTGCCATTAACCTCGACTTTAAGTCGATAAAAAGTGTGCGTGATAAATGTAAATGACAAGTGAAAATGACGCTACAAATGTTTAACAATTTCCGAAAGCCATTTTTCGAATTTTATTGAGCGACCAAACGAACCGATGGGAGGGTGGAAAGAGCAGTGTTCATGTTTACAGTGGTAAAATCGTGTATTTTCAACTTGAACTAGAAACTCATTCACGATGTTGTGCTTTTATTTCAAAAGGAATTTAATTTTTCTTCGAAACAATTCACACACATAGACATACGAAGTATCCTTAGTCGTTGTTTGGTTCGTTTGGTGTTTTTCACTGCATCGAAGATGCTACTTAATATTTCAGCTCATATAAATTAGAATGAACGAGCAAATTTATTAGAATCATTAAAAATAGAATGCAAATGGAGACGATGGCGACGACGACGACGATGGTGTTCAATGTTAAGGGAATGTTCCGGGAAGCAATTTAAAGCGATTAACATTGAATGTACTACGTATTTGAAATTGCCAAAAATACTCTGGCAAACACACATAGAGAGAGAGAGAGAGAGAGAGAGAGAGAGAGAGAGAGAGAGAGAGAGGGAGAGTGTACAAGAGGGAAAAAGAACAAAGAATAACAAACCGGCTATTGACCGACAATGACTCTTACAGTGGTTTGTACTAAAACTATCCTTGGCAGAGAAACAATTTACCCGCACCAAGCGCACATTTCAATGTTTCACTTGTAAATTGCAGCACTTAAATAACCGTTGCTCAAAAGTTTTCCCTCAGACGAAAGCCCGTTGCAGTTTCCAAATTTTGCTCACTCTGTCCAACAAAATATGAAGCAAAATACTTTTGTTGCAAAATTGTTACTGATTTTGAAATTGAAATAAAAATTCCGTTTCGTTTTTCTAAATATATCAAATTTTATTCCACATTTTTAGTTTCTATTTTTACTTTTGTTTCGGCAGCAAATGCGACGCAATGTACAACAGTGTAACAGTAATGGAAGCCAAAGTGATTTGATTGAAAAAGTTTCGTTGGTTTTTTTCGGGTAATGTGCATTGTAAAGTGAAATGAATTAAAAATGAAACATGCATTTCAATCGTCGATTTTGTGCAATGAAAGTGAATTTCCAACATATCCACGACCAAGCGGCACATCCAGCCGATCGGCAACAGCAAAGCGCAACTTGAATTGGTCATTCGTTGACGGCAGCGTACTCACGAATCCAATAAATGTAAGTACGATTGATTTGTTCTCTTTTTTCTATCGATTTTCTCCTATTTTCCCACTCTTTGCCACTCAAAAAGGGAGATTTTTTATAATTCTTTGGTTTTTTTCCTTCTGTCAATGAAAACGACTTTTTTCGAATTTTTTCTCTGGTTTTTCCCCCTTTTTCGTGTTAACGATTTGACTTTTCAATAAGAATCGATTGGTTTGAGGCTAATCGTTTAATTCATTCTACGTTGCTAATGACCCTAAGCATTAGATATCCCGAAATGGCTTTCCGTCACCATTGCTAATTTTATTGATGTTTACTTGTAATAATATTTCCGTTTCAACAACAAACGGCACTTGGCAGGCTCGATTGTCGGTTTTTCGATGAACCGTCTTTGCCTGCTACTGCCCGTTTCTAATTCCATAAATTAAAACGAAACGAAACGATAAGCCATGGTCTTGGTGCGTATTCATTTTCGTTCAATTCAAATAAATGTCAATATTTATCATGCCTTTCGACCATATTCACATTGCTCCCTGGTACATTTTTCATTTCGAATTTTATTTTCTTCGTTTGCTTGTTTTGGCCATTCATAGCGACGTGCACTGAGCGCTCACTCGCGATGTGTGCTTTCCGTTTAAATCCATCTATTTTTGCTGGTTGTGTGTTATCTTGATCTTAATTTGTTTTTCGCGCATTATTACAATTTCGTTTGGTCGGTTGTGTTCGATGTTCGACTCCCTCCTCGCCCGGTAAATATTTCATTGCAGTCACAACTCGGCACAACACAATAATTGGACTGCTGAACAGAAGGGTTATGTGTTTATCGCTTTCAACGAGCGTGAATTCACCATTGTTTGGCTGGGTTTTGAGCTCCACATTCGTTTTTCCCCGTTTACTTCATGAAGGTGATCGGTTTTTTGCGCTTTTTTCAGTTTGATTCGACGCGCTCGATGTGTGTTCAACATGGAATGAAATTTAAGCAATGCCGTGTGGTAGCGTTTCCGTTTCATACTAAATGAACAACAGTCTTTGATCGAACCAGATTGCTCATTGAAAATCAGGCGAGAAATAAAATGAAAAATCCTACACCTAGTCTAGTGTATATTTCATGCTCACACTTCGAAAATGAAAAAAAATAATAACGGAATTTCAAGTGCAAAAAGTGGAAATAAGAAAAATCGTTCAAGGCAAATGAAAATAAATAATAAATGAGGTGCGCACTATTCAAAACAATTTATTTATTTCGTTTGTGCAGAATAAATCCCAATGGAAGCAAACAAAAATAGTTATTTTTTTCTTTCTCGCTTTGTTTTCGCACGTGAAACATTTGGCTTAAATGCTGACATTTATTTCTTCCGTAATTAAAAGTTTCTTCATCAATTCGGTGCATGTATGCAAAGTTTTTGAAGGGCAAGCGAAAGGGAGCGGCAAGCCTAGCAAAGAAAAGAAAATATGCTCAACAATTCTCGTTGACTTGAGCGTGAACAACAAGAACAACAACAAAAAAAAAAAGACCTTACCACTTGTTCTACACTTCACCTGGAGGATGCTTGATATTTTGTCGAAAGTGGCACATCGTTTGTGCACACATTTTAATGCAAACTTTTAATTAATTATATGTTCCGCGGAATGAGCGAGTTTATTTGCAAGTTAAAACAGCTTTTCACACACATACACACACTCAGCATTCGGTACAAGTTGCAAGTATTTAAAAATGCATTACAATTTGCACAGCATGAGAGATAAACGCTAATTATTCGGTTATAATGTCGGTGTAATGCCATAAATATGCACGCGGCATTCTGCCAGCTCTTTTTTTATGGTATAAAACAAAAAAATGGAGAAGTGTTGAATTAAAATTCTATTATCGCTTTTAAATTCGTGCAAAATTTAATGCACTTTTGCCACTTACTGTCCACGAAGTTGTTGTACCTAGTGTGCGAAGAAAGTATATAGTTGAGTAGTAAATGCGATAAAAAAAAGCTATGATTGAGGGTCAACAACTAGTTCACAACATTTCAAAGTGTATGTATGTTCGCAAATTACATGTGCTCCGTGTGTCGAGTCGACGACGACGGTCAGTAGAAAATTCCAATTTCCGTAATAAATACCGAAAAGCTGATGCATTGATCACGCTCAACATATCTAAATGAGCGTCGCACTTGATATGTTTCGATTTATTGTTGAATGCGTTCAAGTAACCAAGCAGGAGCAAACGAGCGAGTGGAAGACGGACGAAGAGAAAGAGAGAGGAAAGAGGAAGATATGGAAAAGTGGCCACTAAGCATCCATGCATACTTTCACCCTCTTTGACTTCCTTACCGAAAATTCCCTACGTACATAAATTGAGAAAGCCAATGACATATTCAAAATGTGCACTCGCACTCGACAACGTCGCACTCTCTCTCTCTCTCACGTATATATCTCTATCTTTATGCATCACGATAACATTTGAAATGAAAATCTGTGCTGTGACATAAATTTTGTGTCGAGCGTCCGTAACAAACTGACTACAAGAAAATTCCGTATGCTCTGTCCCTCTCTGGTTCTCTTGCTAGATCTTCGTCTCTCCCTCGCACTTTGTGTCAGTGAATGGGTGAGTGAGTGTTATTCAGTGTGTGTGAGGAAATTTCGAATAATTCAGAACTGTTTTCCGGTTTGGCCATGGATCGCATTCAGCAAGATGCATTGCGAAAACAATAACAAACTTCATTGCTCGAGACGTTTTACACACACAAGCACACACAAAAGAGAATGGGAGAGAGAGAGAGAGAGAGAGAGAGAGAGAGAGAGAGAGAGAGAGAGAGAGAGACGGTACAATTTACTCGGGGAATAAATGAGAATATGCGCTCCTTTATTTTCTAGCTTTTTAGCCAAACGGCACTAACTTTAAACTGACACATCAACTATTCTGCATAAGCAAAATAGATGCGGCAGATAAATTATATGGCTACTGGTGCCGGTAAACAAGCGGCAAAAGAGCGACAAACTGTGTGTGTGTGTGTGTCTATGAACAAAAGAAGAAAATGCACACACGCAGAGCGAGAGATGGAGGCAGAGACTTCAAGCTATCTGGAGACCGTGAAAGCGAAAATTTTCCGTATTGAGAGACTGAGAGAAGATTCACACAGTAGTTTTCTGGTATGATATGAGAATGCTATTGTCGCAATTCGCCATAATTCGAACATAAAATATATGACTCATGCATGCATGTTGCACAGCTACACATTTGCTAGTTGGCGAGGAAGTGGCACATTTTGCATGTGCCGTCTTTGTCTTGCAGCTCTTTTTGGCCGTTAACGATGTATCCCATATATGGTTCATGTCTCTTGGCGAATGCCAGCCCGCTCTTGGGCTTCCATGTGTGTCACTATGTGTGTGCGGTAAATTGTTGCATGCCTAATTTTCACAACATAAAAACCGGAAGCCGAAGAGAAATTGTTACTTTTCGTGACAAGTGCTTAGGCTATCATCTGCTCTCTCTCTCTCACTCGCTACTGAAATTATCAAATACTAAAAATACATTGCAAAATTGTGCAACATTTTGTGGATCACTTTACAATATAGGCCAACAGTTGATAATTAAAAAATGTGGTCTTGGCCATATTGTTTGCTTTCGAAAGCGAAAAAGAGCAGAGAAAACTGGTTGATTCGCCTCATTTTATGCAACTTTGTGACCTTCGTCTTGTATTTATATTTCATTGACCGTCGGATACCAAAGTCAAAGACACATTTTTGCCAAACGATACATTTCCGAAGCGTATCGTTTTGGTGTGCACCAAGCATAAAAATTTTAAAAAGTTCCATTAGAACAGTGAAAACCGCTGGAACAAAGTGCTCGACATCATTTAATAGCAGCAGCAAGAGCAACGGATAGAGCGACTGAAAAATAAAACCTGGAGCGACTGTGGTGAAAAAGACGGAATTAACCACCATAAAGGCGATATTTTCGTTGGAGGAAAAATGGCAAAAACTCATTTGGTTTTGTTCGTGCATTGTGCATATGGTGAATCGGCACAAAGATGGACTGCATTAGCATTACAAACGCTTTGGCTTTCTCTCATCGTTCTTCGTTCGCTCGTTCGTTCGTTTGGTGGCTTTTTTTTTGTGCTGCGCAAATAAATCATGAATACCGCCATCGCCAACGATGAGAGTCGTTTTTCTTGTGCGGTTGCTGTTATTGTTGTTGTTTCTGCTGCCATTCGAGAGAACAACGGAAAGAGTAAACAAAGAACAAACGACGCCAGGTACAAAGGTTTTCTCTATCAAAGCGAACTCCATCCAAACACATTCACTCACAATTCTTCATGGTTCACGGGTGAAAAACGAATTCTTCTCACTCTACCTCCCCTCACACTCACGTTGACGACTATTAAATTCATATTAGTCGTTGACAAAAGAAGAAACCATACCGCCAGTTTTTTTTTTCGTGTTACACTCACTCGCTGACTCTCGATCGCATTGCAAATTACACCGAGGCAGCAATTTAATGTTTTTTGTTCCTATTCTTCGGCCGAAATGTTCTGCATCTTTGCATTGTTGTGCTTTTTTTTAATCTCACACTTTAACACTGGCGAGTGCATTTCTTTTTTTCTCTTCTTTCATGTTCATTTTTTGTTTTGCTGTTCGAGCCTTTGAATTCAACATACACGAACACAGTGGTGAACGATGCAACAAAAATGAATGGAAATGAACACAAACAAATGATGAAGTGCTCATTTAATCGTATAGACGAAGCGTCAATTTCTTTCATCCATTGTCTATCGTATTTGTAATTTTCGGTCATACAAAATCAAAAGGCGACGCAAAAAAAATTGCATAAAAATGTCGAGCGGTTTAGTTACAGGCCGCCAGTTGTGAATGAATACTATTCTTGTTTGTGAAATTCCATTGTGAACTTTTGCGTAACCTCACTTGCGTAATGAGCATAACTCCTCGTGTAATGAAGAACTAGTCAATTTGAGTGGAATGTCAGGAATTTCGCCAACAATGTGCTCTGAGATTGTTCTGTGCTA